ATGATGTGGCTTCACTCTTGTCCCATGGGAAGTGTACCATTAATTCGTGAGTACCCCACTTCCCTGTGTTACTGGAAGGAGAGCTGGGATGCTTTCTTAATAACACTGATGCACCTGTGGCACTGAGTTCTTTTCCAGACGAAGTCTAAATGCTCTGGAATCACTGTGATCTGTTGTGTTCTGGTTCTGTCTTTAGGGAAGGAATGCACATTTCTCATTATGGGTGTATGGAGGGAATCAAGAGATGCAGAGACTCTATCTGTCATCCCTMAGGGGCTGCCTCCCTGGGCCCTGGATGGTGGCTGCTCYGGATGGAGTACTTGAGCAAGSCTGGAGACWCAAYTGTGTGTCTCAAGCTGTAAAGTAAYCCTGAACCCATYTGGCTTCAGGGCAAACAGAAAGTAACACATGTTTGATTTCAAGACATTTTTCGTAGTCTCCTRTAGAAATATTTCTCCACAGAAAATAAAATGTCTCTTCATATATCCTTGAAAACAACTTTCCTCCTGCTCACATCTGATCGAGTTCTTGGTGCCTGAGGAGGCAGCACCCTTTCACTGAGCACTGAGGCATATTTTGAGAGTTAGCCATCCACTGCAAAAAGACTKTATGGGACTGAATTTCCTTTCCCTTTTCTCTGTCTTTGTTAYTGCTTTTAATAAGATTTTGCTGAACTTGTAAAGAAAATACCCAATCATATAATAAAATTTTGCATGTATTAGCCTAGAGAGTATACTTGAGTGGAAGGATTATTGAAAATGACAGCAATGGAGAGGAATCATACAACCTCATGATGTGGTAAGACTGTAATTTCCAAGTTTCAGTGTTTCTTCCTGGGAAGCAGTAAGAAGCTGATTATGTAACTGGAAATCAGGGACGTTCATTCCTCAGCTAAAAATGAACCAGGAACCATTTCAATAGGTGAATCCCTGCTGTGGTAGTAACTCTGTGTTTTTCCATTGGATTGCTTCCAGCACACAGTTCCACGTATTTGAGTTGACCAGACAGCTTCCACGCTTTTCCATGTATGCCCTGAGCAGCCCGGACTCAGMCACAGAGCCCCTGAGCTTTGTTAACTACACGACGAATGAGAGGCCACAAAGGGTGAGTTTCTGCTCYTCTTCCTGGTTTCAAGTCTTACATAGGTAGAGGGTTTGCAATCAGCTTGAGATTTCCAATAGCAAAGGAAAAATTTTGCAGTGAACTGCACTACTGGCCTTTGGAGTCTGTGTATTTCCACTTAGTCCTGCTTTTTTCTGTCTTTAAAAGATGACTCAGTTGAGGCATTCCAAGCATCAGGAATTCCTGCARGAAGTAAAGGCCTGAGATCAGGAGGTGTTTCAGATATTAACTGGTTTGCTGTATGCCTGCTGATAGCAGATCTGTAGTGAGTGAGTGAGTGAGTGAGCAGAGAAAGGAAAAAAGCAGCACAGTGCTCACRTAGTGGCTCAGTTTCATAGTTGTCTCTGCTTGCTGTATTTGATTTTTTTAGGAATATTCAGCTTTGGTGCAAGGATTCAGCTGTCTTCATTTTCACAAGTTAATGTCATTAGGGGGTTAGGGGATGAAATTTAGTGAATGAAATTTYTGGGGTACCCTGAACAGAGTATTCTTGTACACATCATGTACAAGGGCATTTTGTGGTTCCCTGGGCTTTCCACACAAGGGATGGCTAATGTTCTTAATTTTATTTTTGCAAGATTGTTATGTGGCTGAATCAGAGCTTCCTGCTGCCAGAGGATGCAGAGTTTCAGAGTGCTCCCTTTCAGGTTTGCTTCACTTCCCTTCGTAATGCAGGTCAGCTCTGCATCAAAATCAAGCCTGGTGGYGAGGTGAGTACCTTCATGGATAGGAGGAACAACCCTTTTGTGATACTCAGTGAAACCAGTGTAGTTATGCTGCCAGAATGGGACAGTAAAAATGAAGGACAGCTGAACAGGCAGAGAAAGTACTCATGCTTCTAGAAACTTCCGTGTCCGTTTACTGTTGATGGGAAAAATTCCAGGACCTATAAATCTTAGTCTGAAGATCTGTAAGAAGGAGGGAATTTATTTCCTCACAGAGTGGTTTCAGGGAGCCATAAGGTTTGGTACAAAGGCTGCCTGTAACTTCTGCACTGGTCCTGTGTATGCAGATGCCTCTCTATCCCAAATCTGAATAAAAGCCCCTTTGAAATCAATGTCTTCTTGCCTTACTGAAAGCTGTAGAGCTTGCCCATGCCCTCTTGATTAAAGGACCTGCTTTGAGCCTGAGTAACTGTTGGAGAGGCAGTACTGCTGGGGATTTCCAGGAGATGTTTTGGCATGAGAGTGCTAAAGTGCATTCTTTCCTTTCTGACAGATTTCCATCAACACAGATGATATTGATCTAGCTGGTGACATTATCCAGTCAATGGCCTCTTTCCTGKCCATTGAAGATTTGCAGGTGGAAGCAGATTTTCCTGCCTACTTTGAGGAGCTTCGGAAAGTGTTGGTGAAGGTGAGGAGGCTTCAGGCATTTCAAAGTAGAACACTCCAGATAAGCAATCAAAGGGTTTTTTAATGAGAGGATCTCTAAGCTGCTTTATCTTTGTTATGGAAATCAGCCCACAATGGCTTGCTGTATGTTTTGTGGGACGTCCTCAACTTCCTGTCAATTTTTGTTCTGTAGGAGGGGCCCTTGCTACCCATCAGTTGGTTGTTTAGGATAAAGTAAAATACGTTACCTGGGAGACTGAGCTGGGGTCATGTGGGATGCATATCTCAGTCTGCTCACTCTTTCTGGGGGCCAAGATAATGCTCTAGCAGTGGGGGGTGAGGGGAAGGAGAATAATCTCAGGTGTGCTGGTTGTTTAGGTTGGGATGTTATTTCCTATTGCACTGGGCTGAGGTTTAGGCTGAACTCTGTGTGCCCAAAGTGCCAAGGACCCTTGCTCACGACTTGTTTGCCTTGGGCAGGTGGATGATCACCATGCAGTGAATCAGAGGCTCACTGCTGACATGGCTGAACACTCCAACCTCATCCGCAGCATGCTGGTTCAGGCGGAAGATGCGCGGCTCCTGAGAGACATGTGAGTGATTGCTGCCTGGCTTGTGTGTTTTGGGGTTTAGAACGACCAGTCTTTGCTTTTCAGGCAGAAAAGAGCACAGTAAAACATGGGTGTGATACAAGAGTTGCCTAGTTACACCTTTTGATGTTGAATTGTTCCTTTGATGGTCTCACCATGAGCTCTCCTTGAACCTTGTCATGTTCTTTAGGTGGGAAGCCAGTCAGGGGAAGGCAAGGGTAAGGGTAGGTGTTTAGTGTATCGCAGGTGAGGTGAATCTACTTCAAGATGGTGAGATATGTTAGAAAAGATATATTAAGGAAGAAGGCAGAAAAAGCTATCTGTGGTGTGTGAACTTTTGAGAACACCAAGAAAGAAATTTTAGGTGTCAGGTTTTCACTCTGATTTGCTGTTTTCTGTTAGTACTGAGCTTTACTCTGAAGAGCAGCAGTAAAGAGGCTCAAGCTACTGCACTTTCACTGAGGAAAGTGGTGTCTCCACGTTGGCTTGSTGCATAAAGTAACTGCAAAAATAGACTGTTCGGGTTTGTTTAGTAAAGTAATGAGTATAACCTGTCTGGACAGGTCTGTTGCCTTGTAGCTGGCAGACATACAGGTGACTGTGGTACCCATCACAACCATGTATTCTTACATTGACAAACCAGGAATAACTTTCCTCAGAGTTGCAAATAACTGGACTGATTGTTCCCCAGGAAAAACATGAAGATACGGTACAGCGAATTGTATGACCTGAACAGAGATTTGATAAATCAATACAAAATTCGTTGCAACAATCACACAGAGCTGTTGAATAATCTGAAAGCTGTGAATCAGGCAATTCAGAGGGCTGGGCGGTTACGTGGTAAGTCTGTGTTTTTGGAGGGGTTGGGGAGTCTCAGACTCAGTGAGGCAGATAAGATGTGACCCAGAGGTCACTTGGGTTAGTTAAATGACTTCAGGCTTTTTGGCCTAAAACTTAATTAGAAGTAATCTTTCTTTAGTCATAGCCAATTACATGTGACAGTCAGCTGTGAATGTCCAGTATAATCTTGGGTCACAATTTTAGAAAGAACAATTTGAAATAGTTTCCAGATTTCTGAATGATGCAGAAATTGATAGTTTTGTTGAATATACTACTTTAAAAATATTTTTAGATTTACTTCAGTTCTTAGTTTATAATTCTGCTTAAAAAAATTCAACTACCTACCTAAGCAGGGCTGTTTTATCTGCATTATTAGTCATGTAGGTCTTCGGGGAGGGAGATATTTTTTTGTATATTTATAGCATTCCTCTTTCTACAAGCTCTCATGAAACAGCTACAGGCAATTCTTCTTTAAAGAAAGGATTTTATGTATGTACTCGAAAAAAGATGGTATTTCATCATGTGTTTAAAAAGTGATGATTTTTAAATTCASCTAAATTTTCAGACTGGATCAAATAAGTATTTTTACCAGTTTCTTATTCTGTAACTGAGTGTTTTTTTCTTTCCTTTCTTTCTTTCCTCTTTGCAGTYGGCAAACCTAAAACACAAGTGATCAGTGCTTGTCGGGATGCAATAAGAAGCAGCAACTTCCACACMCTGTTCAGGATAATGCGTGTGGGAACAGCCTCTTCTTAAGGAAAGGAGCAGCAGCTGCTCAGAGGCAGTGAATTCCATGCACTGGGCAGATAATGGATCACAAGCAGTTAATGCAGACCCCTATTCCTCTGCAGGGTGAAGTAATTGCAGAGGTAGTGCTGTAGGTTAAGCTGTCAGGTGAGAAATATTATACAGACCAAAGCTCCAAGAAGAGAGCATCAGAGTTTAAGTGCAGATATGATGTTTATGCAAGACAGAGATACAATGTTCAAACAGTTATTTTTATTACAGTAATTTATTTATGTTTTTAAATATATTTTGTAGTTAAGGCATTGGTCTTTTCCATTAAAACATAGACTGGCTTGACTGATTTTGTTCTGATTTTTGGGGAGGTGTGTACTGCTAAATTTATTTGTTAAAAAAACCCAACCTGAACAACTTTACTGGTTTCTGCTGGGGAGTCTCTTTACACTTGAACTTCCTGTGCTGGAGAATCCTGGGTTTCACTGCAGCGGTGTGTGGCTCTCTAGGTAAACTGCAGTGCAGTGTATGAAAACCACCAAAGGGATAGCATCTTGCTGGCTCTGAAGCCAGATCTCTGACAGGCATCCAGGTCCATAATCTGCAGGTAGGAAGTGGTCTGTTTCATATCCAACACTCTTCCCCCACACCTGGGTTGCAGGAAGTTTTGCTTCCAGGTACTGGTTTCGTGCTACTGCTGGAAAAACTGCAGATACTGAGGTGGGCAAGGGTTTATTTCAGGAACAACAAAAACAAACTACACACCCAAGCTTGGTGCATAATCATGATGAGCTGGTGGTACTTAATGGGATCAAAAGAAGAAGGTATTGAAAAATGACTTGGCTCCTAGCTCAAACCTGTTTAACTGTGTGATCTCTTAGAATTGGATTAAAATATTACAGTAGGGCTCTATCTCAGATCTAAACGTATTTTAGAACCTTTGCCAAAGCAAATTTTCTTTTGGAAGCTAAAAATAACCTGCACCAGATGGAGGTTGGGTCCCAGTGCTCCTGCACCAGCAGCACCCGTGCCACTGTAGGATGGTGTTTATGACGTGGGTGGGGAGGAGTCAGTCCATCTCGAAGTTCTTTGGTGGCTTCTTGGGGCTGTCAGGAGTCATGTCCTCTAACTGGTCTCTCTTACAGCCCACTACTGAATTAAAACCAGCAACCTTCCCTTTGCTACAGAGCCATTGTGAGCTGTTGAACGGGGAACGTAATTCTTGTAATGTATTTTATCCCCAAAACTGCCCCTTGCCTCTGCTTTGGCCCCTTCCATATAGAAAAGTGAGCTGCTGAAAGCACAGCTTTCTGACAGTTAGAATGTGCAGCAGGAGCTCATTTGAATTCTTTTAAGAAACTGGTTATTAATCAAATCCAGCTGCTTGGAAGAAGGGTGGTGAGCCACCCATGCTGTTCTAAGCAAGTGAGCTCAGAGACTTGATTATGGAACAGTCTCCTGGCATAAGTGCTGGGCTTTCTGCCACTTGCTTTACCTGTTCCCACTGTTTCAACCTCTTGTTCTTTATGTTCAAAAACCTGATGCTTGCTTGCTTACATTTATGTACTCCATTTAATAATAAGAGCAAGAGAGTGGCTCTGATCAGAAAGCAGCTTTCCCATCAGCCAGTTTTCAGGACTACACACCAGGCACTACCAGTCCCAGCTCTGTTCTGGTCCTGGCAGGGACATCAGTCCTTCACTCACTGTCCAGACCTCTGGTAAGGCTGATTTCCCTTCTCTAAGTTTCTGACAACAAATCTGTAAATTATTTTCCTGTAAAACAAACTTTTACCTTTGCCAAATGAAAARTGCACATACTTCGCAAGCAGCTCCATCTAATTGTAAATAGAGATTGGTATCCAGCAAGAGTCTCTATAGAGAACATTCCCATTACTGGCATTGTATAAATGAAGGCCCCTCTTCCTCCAGTAGCTCATGTCATTTGCAATTTTGGTRAGTGAAGTCTTCCCCCTGTACCTGCAGCACCAGCCACGCCTGGGGCTGCCTGTGGCGTTAGGTCCTAACAAGAAGGGTGGGAGAGCAGAGACATGTTCATTTTTAGACCTTTGAAAGCTAACTGCAAATTTGGCTTCTTAAATTACTTCATCTGAGTCACCAGAGGAAGAAGGGTGGTTCCTTGAGTGATCAGGTAGATAGGGCTTGCTCAAGCAGAAGCTGGTATGCCCTCTAGTGTAATACTTATTATTAAAAAGCAGCAAGCTCTAGAGCGCCCAACTTCTTCCCAGTCTCCTGGAAGGCAGTTCAAGATCTACCACGCACATTCCTAGGCTCACAATGCAGTCAAAGAGGTAACTTTGTTTTGTTAATGAATTTATTCCCAACTTTGGCTAGCAGACAATGCTGCCACTTTTGTTCCAAACTACCCAAATATTTTTTTTTCTTTGAAACCTTCATTACTTGTCTCATTCTAGTGGAGAGCTCAGAATAAGAACTACTTTCTTCCTAGGAAGGGCTGCTGTCCTGATACGCAGCAGAGTGCCTCAGAAATCACGATTCATGGAGTTCTGTCCTCACTCCAGGATTTGTTTGTAGCTTCATGCTCTTGTCTGTGTATGCAACTAACAAAGATTAAAACTTAGCAAGACAGTTTTGGCAGAGCAGAGAGATGCTGGCTTAGGGAAACGAGTCAGAATATGAACAAGATCTTGCAACACCAGCTTGGGGCAACCACCTCTCAGCCGTCCTTCCCGCCCAACAGAGCACAAGGGAGTAGCTGGAACTGAGCAGCTGCTCCTCAYCTGGGATGGAACTGACACTGGAGTTAGACAGTCCTGCACAGWGCTCTCTAAACAGCAGTGTTGGCTCTGTGCTCTGGCACCTGCRGGGGCTGAGATACCTTTCCCTTTGGAAGCTATGGCAGGGGTTCCTTTTTTGAACTTTGTGTATGGGGATTGAAAGTGAAAGTTGTTGCTCTTGTATCTTCATGAAGATATGCCCACAGGACATCCCATTTGCTCCAGAAAACGTGCAGGGTACTCATATCAACAGTGAGCCTTGCTTTGAGCTTACTGCTCTTCTGCTGMCAGCTGTGGTCTTGCAACACTTTGATGGCCTCCAACAACAGGCCTGGAACTGGAAGAAGAGACTTTAATCCAAAGCTACCCTCTCCCCATCCAGGAGTGAGGGATGAAACATGCACTCTGCAGCTTACTGCAAGCTCATGGCCTGCACTGTCTGGCGYGAATGAGGTGAAAGAACACCTGTGTCTCAGTGCCAAAAAGAAATTTCAGGCAAGCAGGTGCAGGCCAGGGCCGAGGCTCCAGCAGTGTTCTGCACTCTGGCTGTCTCCTGAAGCATCAGTATAGCTCTGCTACACCTTGTGGTGGGCTGCACACCTCAGAGCTGAGTCTGTCAGAGTCCTGCTTGCAGTCAATGTAGGGCAGGTGCACAGTACTGAAAATGYGCAGGGAGGTGTTGCACCAAGGACATGTTCACTGCCTTTCTTGCAGTGTTTACCCCAGAACGTGGCTGGCTGCTGCCTCAAAAGATCTAATCTTCCAGTGACAGAAGCCATGTTAAAACCCAGCAGATCCCAGGACATAACTGAAAGGATATGAGGCCGTGGTGTTGGTGACCTTCCCACCACCTGTGGATGCCAAGACAGTAAAAGGTAAGTTGCCCCATTCCTGCTGCCAGTCCCTGGCCCCTGTTCTGAGGCTGGRGCTGGGACCTGTCTGCACACACACCCAAGGAAAGTGTTCAGGAGCAGGTTTCTTCTTGGCTGTTTAGTTTGTAAATTCTTTGGAAAAAGGGCTGTATCTAGGTCTGTCTGCACAGCATTTAGCATAATAAAGTCCTCATCCTTGTTACAGTGCCAAGTCTTTCGCCATGCCAATAGCTTYATAGCCTGACTGTCTTCCTTCCCAACTCCAGAGAGTTGTGCAGCTGGAAAAACCTCATATTTCCCACGGCAGCTCCTTTATTTTTGTCTCTACAAACAGGAACACAKTTAAGCCCCAGAAAGTGTCTTGGCCATTTTGTAACAAAACTTGCCTGACCAGTGAATGAAGCATTTAACTGACCCATTTCCTTTTTTTTTGTTTTTAATAAAATCAGTCATCAGCTTGGGGCAATGYACAGTTGTAATGCTCACTCTGACAGGTCAGAGATGCCCCTGTGCTGCTCCCCTGAAAGAACAGCTGGAAAGCTGACAGTTGTATGACAACCCCACCCAYAGTGCATTAAAAGCAGTTCAGAGAGTGTGTTGCAATGGACTCAGGAGAAGACTGAATTTCCAYTTGTGCAGTTAAAAAAAGCCACCTGCCCCCACATTATGAAGGGTGAGGGAGCTGCATCAGCAAAGTTTGTCTAAGCTAGATCAGAGATGAACATGTGGGTAGGAGGAACCTGCCCACCACCCACCACTGTTCTCTGAGACACTGGTCACACTGCACCATCATTCATAATAGACAAAAGAAAAATCCCAAAATCCTGTTCTATTTGGATGCTTGTTCAGGCGTGCCAAGCTTCGATGGTTGATGTATTTCACAAACTTCATAGTTTCTTTGTCTCTATAAATTAAGGCCAAGCAGTTATCCTCTGGATTCACTGTCAACAGCTAGAGGACACAAAAATAAGGAAGGAAATCAGTTTCACAAAAATAGTAAAATTTGGTAAAATTCTTAAGAAAAACCAAACAAAGCAGTTTCAAAAGTTRGTCAGAACACAGGTCTGGTGTTAGAAAATGAACTGTGACACTATTTTCATTTAATACCCCTTAACCTGAAGCACTATTATACATCAAGGACTTCTAGACTTCTTACTAGTATGACTGCTTAGYACTGTCACTAGTACTGACGATCAGTGTGACCCCAGTGAACAGCACTTCCCTGGAGAAATATTATCTCTGCAACAGCCTTGAGTCCCTTCAAGGAAGGTTTCCCAAATGGCCCCTGGTGCAGGTGCTATGAGACACTCTCAAGACCCAAATCTCATGCTTTAGGTGAACAGCAGCTTCTGGAAGCTGAGGCCAGAGATACACCCATGAGCAGTGACTGGGGCAGCAAGGCTCCAGGGCACTACTGAGCACCCTCAGCATTTTGTTGGCACTATGACAAAGTGTAATTATGTCTCTCCACCCTAAACAGTTCTATCTGATATGCAGCTAGCAACTGAGGTCCTTACCTCTTCATCTTCACCTTTAGCAATGTAGGAAGTAAAGCCACCGTATTCAGGATCCCAGTCTTAAAATAGAAAAAGAAAGATTCTTAGAAACCTCAATGCTGTCCAGGCTCCCTACAGCCTTCCAGGAGATGYTATTTTTTCATCCCACTCCCCCAAGTTACTGGGTACAGGATAAGCCCCAGTTTACCTCCTTGCAGTGTATTTTTTTTCTTCTGTTCAGAAACAACTTGAAGCAAATGTRCTGGATTTGCCTTTTACGGTAAGTGGGCCATTTAAAGTTGTCTTGTGCATGTATGCCTAAAGTAACTTTTGAAAACCCTGGGCTTTGTGAATTGGAGGTGCAGTGATAATTCTGMTGAGGAAAAGGGTGGAACACCTCTGGCAGGTATTCTGGCCACCTGACCCTGCAGCGTGCGCAGAGCCACGGTGAGCCGTTGCGTAGGAGAGGAAAGGGCTGGGAGGGAGGCTCGGCCTTTCCCTCTGCCCAAGCGCCACCTCCTGGCGCAAACGGGAAAGGTCAGMGATGATTCCAAGGCCACAATCCCAAACTTTTGCATAAGGGCTATGAAAAGGGCTTATGCCGAAGTAAGGACTAGAACAAAGTCTACAGAGACTTCCTACGTAGGCAAAAGTGGGGAAATTTTGGCTGTTTTAGCACTGCTGAGAACTGAAAAGTCATTTATGCAAACCTKGTAAAAGGAGAGTCTGACATCTCCCTCTCATCCACTTACCTTCACAACCACAGAAGAACAACAAGTCGAGAGCAAATTCTGTTGCTTGCGAGTCGTGGACAAGAGTGTAGTGCCCGTGGGTCCAGCGTCGCAGCTCCCCCCCACACACAGGGGTGCCTGAGCCTAGGAGAGGCACAAACACACAGGGAGAGCCATGAAACCACARCAGCTGAGCTCAAGGAATGTGGGCAGTTCAGTGATCTCACATCACTGTAAAATTGTCTGTTGGCCTCAGTGAAAAAAAGGTARAATCACACATCACATGTCAATGCCTTTCCTAGAGGTGGCTCTAAGTTAGGTACTCCAGACAATTTTGTAGGAGCTCTGATGTACTTTAGTTTAACCAATTCTTTCTTTTTCTTGTTATGTTCCCCCTGAATTTACAGTAGAGCTCCAAACTTCAACAGCCAGTTCCTACYTGCTCTGGAAGTATCCTGGAACTACCAGAAGCCTCAGAGAAGGAGATTGCTCTGAACTCATCCTGTACAATCCCAGGGGGTACGTATCCCATGCATACTATTTTAGGGAAACCTTTCTTTCCTCACGGGTCTAGCTCAGTTTTCAATCCATGAAGCCCCAAAATATGCCCTCCTGATACATGAGTTTAAAATCAAACAGTGAGAACAGGGCAAATAGCAAAGCCACATGACTAGCTGTAGAAATCAGAAAAACATGGATGTAGAAACTATTGACAAACAATAACAGCACCCCCCACCCCACAGGAAGTCCCACCCTTAAGACTTAGGTCTGTTCAAAATGGTATCTTTGAATCAGTCATTTATTTACTACAAATTCTTTTGCAATAGTCACTGATTTCAGATAATCAATCTAACATGCTTTAAGTCCCATGTTTGTGCTGGTGCCTTGTGCTGGCTGCAGCACAAGGTGAAGCACTAGTTCCATGAAAATCACTGGGAATTTTGCTTGAGTCCTTTCAGAGTGCTGCTGCTCTACTCACCATTCTGCGTCTCTCCATCTTGTGCTTCAGGGGTGTTGTCAGTCTGGTGTGGCTGATCAGGATTGCCATTAGCAGGTTGTTCAGTCTCTTCCTGCTCAGGTTTGGGACTGCTGTGCCCAGTGGTGTTTGCTGCTTGTCCTTCCCCAGCATCTTCATCCTCATCAGAGGGAGCCAAGAAGTGCAGTTTTAGGCCGGTGAAGTTGGAAAGCAGTAAAAAAAAGGCCTCAGACCGCAACAGCTGCAGGAATTTCTTCAATATGTCAGCAAGGCTATCTTCCTCTGCTGCCTCATAGAGTCTGAAAGACAGCAGATATATCCCTCCAACAAGGATGTTGGCTCTCCAACAAGGACCATGTCCAGAGGGACAACATYGACCAGTGGAGCATCATGGCAGCTTCTGCTCAGCCTGATCAACATGTGCAGTGTGCTGTCGTTACCCACCTTTTATTGGCTGGCCCCCGACTATTCCACTGGATCTCTTTGCTCTCCAATGCTTCACAGAGTAGTTGGTATTTCTCTTTCTAGGAGAAAAAGATGCAGAAATGTTAACATTTAGGTCCCAGAAAAAGACGGGTGAAGACAAGTGTTTGATATTTGATGAGTCCTTATGCAGCAGTGCACAGGCAGTCAGAGGGGCTCCATCAACAGAATCACAGAGGCTGAGGGTGGAAAGGGCCTCTGGAGGTCATCTGGTCCATTCCCCTTTAGGTGTAAAGCTATGAAGTGTATTGTTTAACAGATGTGCAAGCAAACCCCTTCTCAGCCTTCATGCCATGGGGTACCTGCCAGCCCTGCAACCTATTTTGGGAAWTCACATAAAACTGAACTACTGGGCTCACCTTAAGAAAATCTTTCAGRAGAATTTCTGATCGCTCCTCAAATTCCTCCTGGATCTGAGCTTGGGAGTCCATGTCCAAATAAACTAGATTGATCCATTCATACAATATTTCATGCTGGAAGGGACATGGATTGGAACACTGAATTTTCAAAAGTGAAGAAGATTCCCCAATTCCCCCTAGCAAGCTGGTCACAGGGCTAGATTCCTATACACAACTCACACACTATCCATTTCCTTCTTTGTTTCATTGCACCACAAATATGCACCACATTCTCTGAACTTCTGSAGGTATGCAAAACATAAAAAGATGCACGAGATAGAAACCAGATACAAATTTGTAGACAGGAAACAAAAAGGAGAATGAGATAAAGATTAAAGCATCTCCAGTGCCTGGATGCCTTCCCAAACAAGTATTACAGRAATAGGACAGAGACAGAAATGCAGATGTAGGTTTGCTGCTTACATCATAGGGGATGTGTGTGCTCCTGGCCAAGGGGGTTTCAGTGTGCCGTGCAGGTCTGGCCACAGACGGGCCGTGGAACCAACCGCTCACTGACAGGCGGCACTTCTGCGACAGCACTTCTGACACCTGCAACAACATCGGGCAGCACACACTGATTACACAAGGACCAGCTGTAACAGTACCATGCAAACTCCTGACAGGAGATGGACTTGACTCCACAGAGCCCAATGCATACACAGRAAAGTCAGACAGGGCTAGTCCAGGACAGATTATCAGAGAGAGGCCTATTGTCCTGAAGTCCATTGCAGGTTTCCAGGATTCAGTCAAAGCTTTTACTCCAAGCTCACAGAGGATCCATTCTCTCTTTCCCTCAGAGAGCTTTAAGTAACGGATTTTTAAGACAAAATTAATTCATTATGTGAAAACAATCAGGGCAGTGACCAAGTAGATGCTTCTGTTAATTAACAAGTGTAAGACATAAATGACACAAAAATAACTCCCTAAGTGGTCTTGGTGAGGACATGCCCAATCTATATCACTAATCATCTTCCACTCCAGCCTTCTGCTCTCTGGCCCCATTTGATACAGTCCCTGGTACTCTCAAATACACAGGAATTTTAGATTTCAGTCAGGTTTTGTGTCACACAGTTGCACAAATGCAACTAATCCTATTCCCAGGCATCTTCCTGACAAATGTCACAGAGTGCTCCTTAACCGTATCAGCATTTCTGCTGCAGGGCACTGCATTGCAGGGCACTGTGTCACTGAGGGGGTACAGCCAGACCTGCACAGTGCCCTTGCACTGCTGGCAAGGTGATGGATGGYTTGAGGAGCTCTTCTGGAGCAAAGCCATGATCGCCACATCAAAAATGTGAGCTCGTTTAAAACAAGCCAACGAACAGAAACAAATGAAAGCCAAATTCACATCAGTGGCTTGCCAGGATAGTAAAACAAAAAAGAAATGGAAATTTTTMTTTCCAAGGATGATGCAGCTAGACTGATGGTTTGAAGTTGGCTTTGTTGGTTCTTGTCCTCCTGAAAGTCCTTGAAGCCCTCTCTTTAGCACACAGCCCTTAGCATGAGTATCCACTCTACCCACAGTTCTTCTCCCTCCCCATCAGGATTGTACTAACACACAGAGTGAATAACCACAACAATGAAAATAAAAAAAATTAACGAGACAGCTCCTTGCCTGGTGAAAAGAGACTGGAGACACTTCAAAGAAAACCAACGTGTTCCATGAAGGCACTAATGACTTGGTGATTTGCTGTGGYTGAAAGTGTTCTGAGGAAGAAAACATAACCTGGTTAAGATATGAACTGGGATTTGCTAAAAATTGCCATTTCCCTCTGACTTCATGTCACTATGACTGGTGGGACACCTGGGTATAAGGGATRGAGGAAAACTGGTGAGAAATCAGTGCACCTCTGCATGGAGACTGGCAGAGAATTGAGACTGTTCAGCTTGGAGAAGGYTCTGGAGCAATTTAAAGCCACTTCCAGTGCCAAAAGGGGCTACAAGAGTGCTGAAGAACTTTGGACAAGGGAAGGGAATGACAGAACAGGGGGAATGGCTTCCAACAGACAGAGGGTGGGTTTAGATGAGATATTAGGAAGGAATTCTTTGCTATGAGCAGGGAGGCACTGGGAGAGGTTGCCCAGAGAAACTGTGAATGCCCCATCCTKGATATGCTCAATGGGGCTTGCAGCAACTTGGTCTAGTAGAAGGTGTCCCTGCCTACAGCAGGCAGYCTGGAACAAGATGAGCTTTAAGATCCCTTCCTACMTGAACYATTCTTTTCCAAAACCAGGTTTTGTTGCTGGAAAAGGAAATTATTGTCATCAGTCTGGAGTTCCAAGCACCGTTATTGGCATTGCTTCTACTTTGTGTCTACTCCTGGCCCTTCCAAAAGTTCCTTTGTCTGCTGTTGCCTGTTAGCACTGTCTGCAAAGCCTGCTACAGCCCATGCCTAAGGTGCACATTTACCTATAAATCAGCCTCTCTAAACAAAGGAGAAACTCTTTATCTCCCTTCTACTGTTTGAAGTGAGAGTTACTGCAAGGGGAACAAAAGCTTCATCATTTTCATCCACCTGAGGCTGAGCTTGGAGCTTTTACCATCTGTGCTGTACAGGTCCAGCGTTCCTCCATCACTTTTGTCCCAGGGTGGGACGAGGTACAGGATGAARGCGATTCTCCGACCTTCCAGCTCATCATCATGGCACAGCAAGACATCTGCAATTATACACATTTTGCAGCTGTAGCATCTTTCCAGTACATGCAYGATTCATGCCAAAAACTGCTTCCCAGCTTTGTCCCCGCAAGGATATGCTAAGAAAAACACATGTTCTTTCCAAGAAAGGCATTTTCACTCATCAGCATCACCAGCCTGAGATCTGCAAGATTAACTTCTCTTGGACTGCACTGTAATTGGCAGATCAGACCACTCTGAAGGTACAGGCAGTTATACAATAGCAATAGTTTTTTCATCATTTGTACTTCATTTTCACACATTGTTTTGCTGCTGACACCTTCTGGGACCCTCTGGAACTAGAATAAAATTACAGATYCTATACAGAGTCTATTCTATACAGATTTTGTTCCCTACAATGTATAGAAGCTTTAGGGAAAGCATCACTTATCAACTGACCAGTATATTCATATTTAGCACAGGAGATGTCAATAGTTGGCTCCAGCTCTATCTGGGTCACAGCAGAAAGCCACACTCGGAATTCTTCACACAGAGCATGCCTGAGAAGATAAGCACACATAARTGTCCTCCTGTGCTATAAAACATATCACCATAGACTAAGCTRATTTATTGTCTCCCTGACACCTATTTAAACAGTCACAGGTGCTGTTGCTGCGAGGGACAGCGTATTCYTACAGAACCRCACAGGAGCTGGCCAGRGAACAGCCCAATGCTCACAGCWCTGCTGKCAATAACCAGCAGTAAGCGTGTAACCCGTCGGAAGGTGCACSGGGAAGTGCTTCAGAGGTGACAGATGCAGGAGGGCTGAGTGYGTAGGAAAGCTGAACAGACTTCAGTACCACAAGTCCAGAGCACGTTCAGCTCTCCAGGGCTGATTTTTGGCCCGAGAACCGGTGCAGAAGGGGCCACGCCGCGGGTCCACCCTGCAACCACCTTCCCCGGGGAGCCACCACGGCTCTTCCCCATCCTGAGGGAGCAAAACCCCGACTCACACTTTACCTCAGGGCGGCGACGTGGGGCTCCGGGCTTGCCCCCAGCTCCTCGGACTGCGGCGGCCCATGGAAGAGAAGAAGGGACGGGGGTTAGGGCGGCTCGGCTCGGCCCGGCTCGGCACRGCYCGGCTCAGCTAGGCCCTGGGCCCACCTGCTGCAGCGAGAGGAGATCGTTGCGCCGCCCGCGGAAGCCGAGGCCCAGCAGTTCATCCCGCAGAGCCTCCGCGAAKGCCGGGCCCGCCAGGAAACCGGGAATGATGCCATGCCGGAACGGGGCCGGCTCCAGCACCACCGCTTCTGCAAGGGAAAGACCGCCGGTGAGGGGCGGGGAGCCGGGCCACGCCGTACGGTGCCGGAGCCGCTCCCCGCGGGCCGGGCCGGGCCGTACCGTGCCGGAGCCGCTCCGCGCGGGCCCAGGCCGCCCCCGCGCGCTCCCGCAGCTCCGCGTCCCCGAGAGCCGCCCGGAGCTCTGCGCGCGCCTCGCGCCTTCCGCGCTTCGCCCCCGGCGCCGCCGCCGCTCCGCGACGCTTGGTGGCCATGGCACCGTCCGGCCGGACTACAACTCCCWGCGCYCCCCGCGCCTCGCCCGCCTTGGCCAATCGGATCGCGCGAGGGGCGGGAAGTGATGCCGCTGGCCAATGAGCGAGGAGAGGCGGGGGCGGAGCGCGGCGCGTCCCGGCAGACGGCGCGCGGCGCTGAGGGCTGGGCGGGCGTTAATGGCGGACGCCTCTCCTGCCGCCCGGCGCTGATCCGCTGCTCCCGCCGCCTTTTCCCGCCGCTGCTCGCCATGTCCGTGGTGCCGCCCAACCGCTCGCAGACCGGCTGGCCCCGCGGGGTGAACCAGTTCGGGAACAAGTACATCCAGCAGACGAAGCCCCTCACGCTGGAAAGGACCATCAACCTGTGAGCGCCGCCTCGGGCCTTCTCGGCTCTGCCCCCTCCCGTCCCACCCCTCTGGCGAGCCCGTCCCCGYTCCCTCAGCAGGCCCGGCGCGAATTTTCCCTCAGTGCTCGCCGTACGGAGTCCGCAGGGTCCCGGCCCTTCAGAGGGCTGGAGGCACGGCGGCAGCAGAGCCCGGGTGCCGATGGGGGCCCGTCCCTCTCACAGGGACTGCTKAGCCGTGCTGTGGGTACCGAGGGTGCCGAGGGCTTGCCGGCCTTCGTGGAATGGAGTAGTTTTTGTGAACGCTTTAGTGCTTAGAAACACCGTGTGGTTCGGGAGTTGYGAACCCCAAGTAACACAGGGAGTGTTTAGGCATGTTGAGCATCACTGACGTTTTCGCGCTCTCACAGGCATCCCGAAAGGCAGCATAGAGAGAAAGAGCTTTTTCTTGGCCTCGCTGGGATTTGGGCTGATCCTGAGCAGTCAGTAGGATGTGGTTGGATGCGCCTGGTGTTTGTGGATTGTCTGGTGCAGGTGTTGGAGTTTAAATTCAGAGTGTTTGCTTTCAGAGAAAACTGTCATAGATACAAAATATTTCCTAAAAAGTATTTATGTATTTTGAATGAGAAGCCATATATTTTTGCTTCTTTCAGTAAAGTCTGGTGGATGTGGGATGTGTTTTTTGCTAAGTTCATCTATCAAGTTGTAATAACCGGCAAATGTTAACTGCAACAGTCAGTATTAAATTTTAGCTATTAATCACTGATACACTTGTGTATTTTTATGGTGGAACTGTGTTTATTCACGGTCTTGTGAAAGCTCAAATACTGACTTCAGAAAGTGGAATATTTCTATAGGTTTTCTGAARCAAAGATGYATCAGGAATCTGTTWTCAGCAGCATTTTTTAAATYCTAGGCTAAGAGTTTTGATRTACAGACTARTGTACTSACATTAGTGTAGTAGCTTRTTAATAAAGCCATTTCTGTATGYAAAAATGAAAACAAATGGAAAAAGAAATATAGATTCTTTTAAGCTGTAAGTGAAAGTGAGGCAACTTGTTAGTAAATGAATCTGTGGTTTGGAAACTGGTTGTTTTGGCTCACTTGTCTACATGAGAAAAAGCTCTAATGATGGCAACTGGCTTGTGATTTCATCACTGTAAGACATAAGGAAATAGGAGGGGGAAGTGGGCTAGAATTTTAGGAGGGAAGTGTGTATGCTATTTAAGCTTGACATGTTTGGGGAAAGAATCCATGACAAAATGCATCACAAGGAAAACAAGATCAGTCATTCATTCTGYTAATTCAGTTGCTGTGTGGTTGCAGAGCCAATAAAACTATGGTGATAACTTTTCACTGCTCTGCCCCAGAGCCATTTTCTTCTCCCTTTTGACTTAGCTGGGTGATTCTGTCTTTCCTTCAGGTCTCCTGCTAACAGACCTCTATGTTACATGGATTTAATTGTACAATGACACTCCCCTGTTGTCTTCTGTCCTCTCTTGGACTGACTCATTTCTCACATTCCCTTTCCTTTCTCTTCTGTTTTCAGTCTCTCTTAGMTGGAGAAATTGCTGTTTGCACTCTATTGTCACAAGAGTGCAGGGGCCCAGCACCAGCCCAACACAGTGATCTCCGCACACTCTTGATCTTAGCCCAGGCTCCCAATCCTGCACTCAGAAACTAATTTTTCCTTTTCTGTGATCCATATGTCTGATTTCCACTTCAAAACAAAACCACTTCTAACAGTTGTCAGCCTCTCATTCTATTTGCAGAAAAAACTGCAGTCCTGTGCAGCTTCCTTCCTTCCCAGCAGAGCATTTTCTGCAGTCTCTTTTCCAGCTCCTTTCAGAGCTTCAGCTACCTTTTCCCTGCAGCATGGAGACCAAAGAGGATGGCTGTTGAATGACAGTTGGTTCTTCTGTACTTCTTCTAAGTGAGCACCAGGCTAGAGTGTAACTCAACAGGACTGTGTGCTTGTGTGTTCCATAGTGCAGATCTCCCAGGCACAGGGGCCTCATGTGCCACCAACAAGGATTTTAGCCCTGCAGTACGACTTAGCCATCAAGCAGTGAAGGGTCTGCCTCAGGCTWGATGCTGTGTCATGGTGATTCAAAGTTAGATTTTTTTATTATGCAGTAACATATTTTCTCCTCCTTATAGGTATCCTCTGACAAATTACACGTTTGGCACAAAGGAGCCTCTTTATGAGAAGGACAGTTCCGTGGCAGCTCGGTTTCAGCGTATGAGGGAAGAGTTTGACAAGATTGGCATGAGGCGGACAGTGGAAGGGGTTCTGATTGTGCATGAGCACAGGCTGCCCCACGTGCTGTTACTGCAGCTGGGTACAACTTTTTTCAAGCTGTAAGTGTCTGTTTCTTAAGTGTTACTTTAGTTTATTGTCACAGACCACTAAACATGGGCTAGAGATTAAACTGGCCAACTGCTCCATGTTTTGAATGGGATTAATTTTTTGTAAAGACTTAGTCTGGAAAATCTCTTTTGAATGGTGGTGTTTTCATCTAAAGTGTGTTTGTTTGACTGTGTTTTTGAGGGGGGTAACTCAGTTGTGGGAACCAACTGGGAATCTTAGTTACTGTGCATCATTGCAGTAAAATCTCATTTAAAACTCGTTATGAGCAGTTTGGTGTGTTGTACTTGCATTGTGAAAGCTGTTATGCTTCAGTAGCTTATGCTATGCCCACAAAAATGGGCAAGTGGAGTTCAAGGACCCTGCAAATGCAGAAGGATACCTATTTGCAAACTTCCTGCCTGGAAGCACACCAGAACTTACCTGTGAAGATTGGTAAATGCAATGAGATAACTTTAGCTTTCATCATTGATTATTTTAACAGACCTGGCGGTGAACTCAATCCAGGAGAAGATGAAGTAGAAGGGCTCAAACGYTTAATGACAGAGGTGAGTTTTCTTTCATTATGTTGCTACAGTGGAATGTTGCATTRTTTTAGAATTACCAGAATAAGCTAAAGCATTAGTCTTCTTACCACTGTTGTTGTTTTGTTGCTTTTGTGATGTTCTCAGGTAGTTAACAAATAAAGCAGTCAAGTTTTCATTTATCTGCATCATGAGCGTGGCTGACTCCTGCCTGCTGCTCAAGTCCTGTGTTCATTTGCAGCTTTACTTTCTGGCTTCAGGCAAGTGAGTGTAGAGATGAGCAATAAAATATATTGTGGAGGACAATTGATGGGGACTTGCCTATGAGATAGTCCTCCCAATGCACCATTTTCTCCAAGTAGCTCAATTAATTCTGCCAGACAGTGTAACAATGTATTGCATTCTTCCCATTGGTCTGATAGGACTTAGTCCAACTGAGAACAGCATAGATTTTGAAATGCTTTTTAGAGTGGCCTTGTTCTATCAGGTGATGCTTTTAGTAAAAGAAGTCACTTTATACAAAAATACTCTACAATTGTATTGAAAGCTGTCTCAGAGCAGTTATGAGTTATGTCAGACTCATATTACAGCAAGTCTTTGTACTTCCAGTATGTGTTTACTAAAAAAAATTTCCTTGAGGTTGTTCAAGGTTTGATTATTAMTGGATTTTTGATAGATACTGGGTCGTCAGGATGGTGTTCAGCAAGACTGGGTGATTGATGACTGCATTGGCAACTGGTGGAGACCAAACTTTGAACCTCCACAGGTGAGTACTCCCATGGGCTTCCATCTTCTTTGGTCAAGTTCCATTTGTACTTCTAAAAGCCTTCAACCTACCAGATGGCCTTCATGAGCCTGCTGCATGACCAATTAGTTTTTCTGGGGTTTATCTATTTAATCTCCTTTCTATGAGTGAATAGAAACTAAGGCCTTTTTTTTCCCTGGAAACTCTTGTCTCCCTCCTCACACCTGTGCTWATAGATAAGAAGCCACTGGATGTAATAGCTTCCAGTCCTATGCTGAGACAGATGCATCATTTAAATTCCTTTTTGTAGCCACAATGGAAACTCTTGCTCTGCTGCTTATGGAACAGATGCCCTGTGAATAAATTAGTCTCATTACCCTATTTCTGAAGGCTTTAATAYTAAAAATCCATGTTCAGATTGCTTTAATGCATTTCTATCTTACTGGGTTGTTTTAACTRCTCATGAGTGTTGGTGCTACTTTAGATCCTGTCAATAGTTGTGACAGCAACAGCATTCCTTTCTTAAGTAGTTTCTTATGAAAATGGTTTTCTTTATTTGATGCCATGAAAGAGCAGTATATAACACATTGAAAGCTTGTACAGTGCTTGATAATTTATAAAGTAGCACTTTAAGATTGCACAATATTTTCAAAGCTCTGTACAGATTTTTTTTTTCCATTTTTCTTCTAGTATCCGTATATCCCAGCTCATATTACAAAGCCAAAAGAACACAAAAAGCTTTTTTTGGTCCAGCTTCAAGAAAAGGGTAAGTGTTTGTTTGCATCAAAGGGTTATATCTGTAACAATGTTTAAGTGCTTGCATTTCACACAAAGAAGTCTTGTAGCAAGTTGTGATTGTACGCTTGCAGTTGTTTGTGGTTGATTACTAACAAAGTTAAATGCTGGTATTTGTTTTGAAGGTAAATGATCCTTTGAACATGAGTTCCTMGTAAATTTTCATTCCTGCTCCTGCAACAGGCTGTCTACAGCATGTGAATCCCTCATTTAGCTAGAAAAGGAAACCTGCTTGAATGCTCCATATAGGGAACTTGTTTTGAGGKCTATGTGGGACAGTGATAACTTGGCTGAATGTGTGCTGGTTTTCTGATTCATCAATTTGCATTTGTTTTTAGCTTTGTTTGCAGTCCCCAAAAATTACAAGCTGGTTGCTGCACCATTGTTTGAGCTCTATGACAATGCACCAGGATATGGACCCATTATTTCCAGCCTTCCTCAACTTTTGAGCAGGTATATTGTATTTGGATAGTGGTCCTTGGGAATACATTTGTGTGGGACACCAGAGCAAGGCAAGGSRCTRCAGAAACCAACTTGAAAAGGTTGTATCTATCCCAAAGATTCTGCCTCAGGTGAGGTGTGATGGACAGCTTGGAGGCACTGATCACAACTGGCTAGCACCAAAGTCCTACCTAGCAGTTGTAGCTAAGGAAGACATGAAAAACAGTGAGAATGAGGCTGTGCATAAACTGAGGAACAGCTTCTTGTAGCTATTGGAGACAGCTGGAGAGTTAAAGCCAGAATGTGAGTTTAAAGCACTGAGTTAGGTGTGCATATTATCATAGCTTTGTGCTGGTAAAATGTGGTGGGTTTTTTACACTCTCCATATAGAGTTAATGAAGTGTAGCACCTTTATGTCACCAGTATCTGTATAAGGAGCTGTATTTTTTCTTTTCTCTTCCAATATATATGTGCTTTGACTTGCTTACCTGGAAATGGCTTGTGACTCTTCTCTCCAGAGCTTCCTAGTTTCACTGCTCTCTTTCATTTTAGAGAATGTTCAGTCATGCCAGGTATCCCACAGTCTGCCAGCTCTTCCTTAGGGAATTAGTTCTGTCACCSACCCACTATGATGAAAAAATTATGTTAGCAGGATGTTAGCACTGGTGTTGCCCATAATACTCTTGTTTCCTGCTAATTTTTCTCTCTGGCCCCAAGCAGGTACTTCCTCTTGAGTACCAACAAAACACTGTCTGTTATGCAGGTTAGGTAGTGGTGCAACAGACACATCCAAAGGCTGGGCATCTGGAAATTGAGATGGATGCTTGCTTTCACTGTTTTTAATGAAAATTWGTTGGGAAAAATTCTCTCTTCTGTTGAGTATGTCTGTATGTTCCCCTTGGAATATGTAAGGTTGGCCTGCAGCAGAAATGTTGCAAAAAAGTTGCTGATGGAGGAATGTAAYGGTTACTGTGCTTTTCGTATCCATGAACCTGTGTTAGGAGGTGAAATGTTAACAATTAGTTCTTCTGCAACCTTAAAAGACAGTTGTGCAGTGCTAATGTAGTAGCTGYTAAAAATGATGCTTCCTGCTATACTGCAAAGCTGTCTTATTAAAAAATGCACTTTCCTCCTGTCAGGTGAAGGCTTATCTAGAAACAAACCAGTTGCTTATTCATTCAAAAATGCCCTTAAATAAAAAGAATAAAAATTCCTCACTTGGTATAATCCTTTTAATTTTAGGTTCAACTTTATTTACAACTGAATTACTGTTGACCTGAAGACTCCAATAGAAGAAGCCGTCTCTGTGAGCACAGCTTTAAACTGTAGAGAAATGAATACACGTGACACAAGGACTTTTTATGTCATTCTATTCCTGAAGGCCACTAAACATTCTATGGTATGAATAGAGAAGTGAACCTCAACTGTTTAGCTAGAGAGATGGCAATGGGATACCAGTGTTTTAATCCCTTTTCATGTTAATACTCACCAATTTTTTGTTTTGTACAACATTAAACAAAATGGTTAAGATTCTGTTTGTCTTGGGTTTGGTTTGTTTTTTGTTGTTGGGGCCTTTGTGGTTTTGGGTTTTTTTTTCTGTTTGGGATTTTGTTTGTTTTTTTTTCCTTCTGTTTTTAGCTGTTTTATTTTCTTTAGTTGTCCCTTACTTTTAGGTACATATTTTAAACTTTTTTACTTCAGGAATACAGATGATCTTGAAAACAAGGAGGAGCTAAGCCATTCAGGGCCCATTCAGATGGTGCGATGTCTATCCGTGAGCAGGGAATATCCCTGGGGTCATGGAGAAATGAAACACTATACATGGGTGCAATATTGTTTTGAGTCTTCATTTACTTGGAGACCAGAACCATTGTTTTGAGGGAGTATGAATACTTAAAGGCAAGTGTAGCCTTTATGTTTTTTTACCGGAACTCATCTATTTGTACAGGGCTTGGGACAAGAACATATGTCRGTTCCTGCAGTACTCCCTTAAGACRGTAATAACCTGAGAATTTCTGTTGAACTGGTCTGAGGTACAGTTAAAATAGGGAAAATGAAGTTAATTTTGTGTATTTTTTCCTTAGCTATGGGACAGAATTAGGGTCATGTTGAAACACTTTGTCAATGCCACATGCAAATGGTTTCATGGTACATTGACCTGTGCTGTTTCATCCTGCAAGAGATACCTACACTTCTGCTTTTTCTTCACATTTCAGTCTCTTGTAGGTAGTAATGTTAACCTTTCTAATTCTAGATTTTTTACATGCTTGGCTAAATGTAAACTCCAGCTGGATGTGACACTTCCCAATGCCTTTAGTTGTCTGTAATTTTGCTTAATGAGTCTTTGAAAGATTTRTTTCCAACTTCTGACTGATCAGAAGATGCACTGTTGCTTGTGCACTGTCCTCTTTTATAAAGGCATGGTTTGAGAGTGCCTGCTGCCAAGAGAACTGAATCTTGCCAAAGTGCTTGGCTCTGCTGCCATCTGCACTGGTAAGTGATRTACAGAACAATCCTGCCAGCTTGGTGCTTTGGTCAAATTGAAGCTGTGCAGTATGGGAAATGTACTGACAAATGTTGGGAAAGGTAGTGGAAGGGCTGTTCATTTTGGTCCTGTGGATGGAAGGCCCAAGACACATGGTGAGTAGAATGTTTGGTCTCTTAGTTGCTAGCTGGGGGAATAAAGCTGGCAGGGGAGTGGAGAACAGAATCCYTTTTGCCTGTGGAAGTAAGGAAGGGCAGGTGGAATTCTGGAAGTCAGATGGTACAAGAACAAGGAGCAGAGTGCAGCTTTTGAGCCCTGGCACTTAACAGCACCTGTCACCTTCCTTACCACACGATAGTTTGGGAGATTAGTTCTTGTTCCAGGTTGCCTGTGGAAGGGCACTGCTCCTGCAGTCTCTACGCGCTCTGCTCTGACACCCTGCCTGTAGGTTTGGGGGCTCCCGAAGGCCCCTCCAATTCCCCCACGCGCGGCTCCGGCGGTGCGGCCGCTGTCCCGGGCGCGGGGGGGTGCGGGGCAGGGCCGGGCCGGTGGAAGCGCCGCCCCGGCCGTGACTCAGCGCGCGGGGTGACGGGCGAACGCGGCGCCCGGAGCTGGGGCGGGGGGTTCGGGCCCGGTCTCTTTCCTTTCTCCAGTGGGGGCGGCTCGCCCGGCCCCGGGGAGGGGCGGCGGGGCGGGCGTTGAGCCGGGGGAGCGCGGCGGGCCGGGGCCGGGCGGCGGCGAGGTTTCCGCGATGCCGCTGCTGTTCCTGGAGCGCTTCCCCTGGCCCAGCCTCCGCACCTACACGGCGCTCAGCGCYCTGGCGCTGCTGGGCGCCGGCCTCAGCGCTTACCGTGCGCTCAGCCAGGCGCCCGGCGGGGCGCCGGGTACCGAGTCGGCCGAGCCCCAGCGCTGCGCCGGCCCGCGGGCCCTGGACGTCGCCTACTACCTGCTCTCCGACAGCCTCTGCGTCTGGGTGAGCCCGGGGCGGCGGCGGGGCCTGCGGGCCCGCGGCCTGCGGGRMYGGGATCGGGATCGGGATCGGCCTCTGCCGCCACCTCCCCGCGGCCGAGGGGAGGCGGGCGGCTCCGGGGGGTGTTTCGTTATTGTTGTTTGAAAACTGCTCGCGGTATAAAGAGAGGGCTCGGCTGGGTTCCCCCTGCCCGTCCCGGGCCGCCCCCGCAGCCGCTTCCCTTCCTGCCTGGCCGGGGCAGCGGGGCAGCGTTAGAGCCGAGCGCCCCGAGAGTTCAGCCCGCGGCTTGTGCTTCTCTCCCCGAGCGCTCCCCGCTCGTCCTGACCGGGGGTTTGGGTGAAGCTGTTGGGAGCATTTGCCGCGGTCCCAGGCAGGTGCTGGGCTTAAGCTTTGCCAAGCGCTGCCCGACCTGCTCTGCCAGAAATCTGAGTAAGGGACTGTCAGGTATTCGAGCCCAAGCCTTGTAATGTATTTATTTATTTGAAAATAGCGTTTAAAGTCTTGTAGGTAAGAGGAAACATTCTCACCATTTAAGGAAACAAATATTTCTGTATCTTCTTAAACCCAAACCTCATAATGGTTTATAAATTTAGGCTTACTGATTTGTAGTTCAAGTAAAGGCTCAACAAGGGGATATTGGAAGCCTTGCTGAGTTGTTGCTGTTGAACTTTTCATCTGTCTGTCACTCAGAGGTGGAGCAGTTGGACATCTGCTTCACAACATCCTTGCTTGGCAAAGCAAGCTGATTTTTTAATATACCAAACACAGTCAYCCTGTTGAAACCTGGTCTCAGGACCTTAAGTAAGAGTCCTGGAAAAGTTTATTGTATGTCSTTTGGAAGTGACGAGGCGAGGCTTCTTCATCATCCACATTCTYACCTTTTTAGCATCCTGCTTAGGTCAAAAGTTAATTACAAGTGTCTTTGCCAAATGTGAGATAGCAGTTTTCCCAGGCCCATACGTTCTGCTTCTTGCTCCTTTGCTRTAAAGCAGTTTCCCAAGAAAGCCTCAAGCAATGTTGTTACTGAAGGGGTGTGTGCTATTCAGCATATTTTGAGGCAACCTCTCAATCCTCTTACTGTAATGACAGATTCAGGCTGGAGTTTTATCATCTGYCGTATGTTAAACAAAATGGGCATTTTGGTAATCTCTAAGTTTTGTCCCCATGTTTGTTTGTGAAATTTGCTAATTGTGAAATTATTGTGAAGAGGTAGATCAGTTTGTTGGCTGTACTGCTATATAAAACTGACTGTGTTAGTATTTCTAGAACAAAAAAGTAAAGTGACTTATCGGCTACTTCATGTGTCTTGGAAGAGGCCAGGCTTAAATTTCACCAGAAAAAAAAGGCAACTAATACTGTTCTGTGAACAATGGCAGGTTTTGTTAGACTCATTCATTCCTCTTCTCTCCCTCTTTCTAAATAGGGCAAAAGTATTTGTCACTGACTGCTTTAYTTCTTTCCAGGTACTGGTGAACACTGCCTGCTGTTTTTTGATGCTGGTTGCTAAGCTAATCCAGTGTATGGTGTTTGGTCCTCTTCGTGTCAGTGAGAGGCAGGTGAGACAGCAAACAAGGAAACTCTGGAACATGGCAAACAGTGTGATTTTTATATGAAATTGCTGAAACTGYGCAAGAAAAGTAAATTTTACAGCATAAATCTTAATCTTTGGTTAGCTAGTATATCCATGGTCACAAGCTTCCAGTTTATTTCTRAGGGAWTTTTTYCTATTTTATTTTGTAAACCCACAGTCAACTTGAAAATMCTGTTTCTTTAATGAACTCTCTCTGATTTCTTACAAATGCACCTAGCTTYAAAGTGCTTGTAACGTGTTCTTCTCTATACTATCTGCACCTGGCAACATTTCTTCATTGCATTTAGTAGTTGTCAGCACTGTCAGTCTTGAGGCCCCTCTTGTTTTGTACCTTGACTGCTGGAGAAGTGCTTTCCATCCTCATATGCTGAGTTGAAGGTTTATCAGCTCTCAGGTTTAAGAGGGAGTAGGCAGGAAAATCCCCAGAGAAAGGAGGTGAGCCAGGGCTGAAAACTGAGGCTGTTAAGACCTGCTYTTGGCTATCTGGGGATGTTTGTCAAAATTTAGCAAGGGAGCCATTAAAGCCCAGAATTTTAAAAAACAGGATCCTGCAGAAGGTGGAAGCAGCAGCAGGACCTTGAATAGTATCACTCTCTATATGTTTTTTTAAAAGTAAGGCAAATGCATACATTGCTCTGTGTAAATGCAGTAGCAGTGGTTTGGAGTGTGTTCCCATATTAAGAAATTGAAGTCTGTAATTGCAGTTCTGTAGGAAGAATCAGGCCATGATGATTTTTGACATGCAGAACTGAGGCGCACAAAGCTTCGTTAATAACCGTGGATCTTTCAAAGCCTATTGTATTTGTAATTCACATCCCGTAGAGTCTGAGTGGGGTTGAAACTAAGGCACTATCAAAGTGCAGTGGGCCAGATTTTCTTTCCAGTCCATGTTGACTATAAAGATGTGGAATTTTAACCAGTGATAGTTGTCAGGATGTTCTCTACCCTCTAAAAACTGAAGTGAAAAGCAATAGCAGTGTGGATCCATTTGTGTTTGGACAGTGGGAGTTGCCTTGGTTGTCATGTAAAGGAAAGCTGGTTGTTAATACTGGTGAGCCCAAAACGACAGCATCATGAAGGAATTCAGGGCCTGTCTTAACTAAACTCCTAGTGATTTCATCRTGTTCTTTAACAAAACATTTTGTTTCATAAATTTTTTTTATCCCCTCCAATCTGGCCTGCTGTCTGCTGCTTGAGAACATCATATTGTTTCTTTCATACTGAGTATGTGTGGGAATCGTTTTATTTTCATTGCTCATCCATCTCGTTCTGCGCTGTAGGCATTGTGATTCTTAAGAACAGACTCTGTCATCTTTTCTTAATCATCCATATTTTTTGGCAGGTTTTTGGAAGCAAGGTGCTAGGTGATTTGGGCATCTTGAAWAATAACCAATTGTGGCAGTTCTTCYAGCAGAGRGGACTTTGTGTTTGCAGCCTGGTATCTGAGTTGCTTGGGCATGAAGACACAAACTGAAATCAGACTTGGTTTGTGCTGGGCATTGTTTCAGGAATCTGGCAGGAAACTGCATTGTGTGCTGTGTAGCACAGTTATGCTGCCATGGTACAAAAGACTAGATAGATATTAAAGTCTGCTAATATTTTTAATACATTTCTTAGCTTAATAAGGGAAAAAATACTGTTGAAGATGTGTATGCAGCAGACTTTAGCTAATTGTTGCTAGTTGTGTTGTTGCATTTCTACTTCAATCTTTTTTTTTTATTATTTTCCTTTCTCTTTTTCCCTTTTCCTCTTTTCCTCTCCTTCTCTGTGTGGATTGCCAGTGCTTTCACTACAGTAACCAAGTGTTTTCCATTACAGCATCTCAAGGATAAATTCTGGAATTTCATTTTCTACAAGTTTATCTTCATTTTTGGWGTGCTAAATGTTCAGACAGTGGAAGAAGTGGTGATGTGGTGCCTCTGGTTCTCTGGACTTGTGTTTCTCCATCTGATGGTTCAGCTCTGCAAGGATCGCTTTGAATATGTAAGTTTTGATTAAGGGCTGTCTTTTGGGACATGCAGATACTGTTTCTGATTCAGGCAATGGCTCATGATAAGGTACAAACAGATCATTTAGAACTTTTCCTCACCCTGTGGTGCTGAACATGYRCACTTCCCAGTAGCTTCAAATAYTTGCTTTARAGTACAATGTCAATCTTACTCCTTCAGTTTTCCCATGAGACAAATGGAGCTGAAGATACTTATTTTCTTTAATAAATTGCTCCTTATATGTGCCCTGTAATTATTATTACATAACTGCATGAGATAGCTTCATAGCTCTCCTTAGTAAAGACATCTTAACAACAGAACATCCATTAAATTGGTGCCCTTTAGGATTGGCCCATGGAGCCTACTTCTGCAGATTCTGTACTCAGGTTTCACACTCACTTAGACATACAGAATTTTGACTGTKTCTTTACAATATACAGTGCAATTTTCTCTCTGAGCTACATTCTACTTTCTGTTAATACCAWGAATAAATTCACTAGAAATGCAGAAATTGATACTAGGTACGAAAGAAGGAGCTGTAATTTATACAGTAAATCTTGGCTTTTAAACTATAATGGGCCTGCATTTTCCTACGTACCTCTCTTCTGGAATAGAGGTTTGACCTAAATTGAATCCATAAATTTTTCTTTTGTAAATTTGTACTTTGCAGGTTTTTTTTTTTAATAGTGTCCCTCCAGTAAGGCATGTTAATTCACAGGTAGCTAAGCACGTAAACTTGAAACTGGATTGGCTGGCATTAGGAAAATTTAGACAGCAGTGAACAAGTCATCTGGTATTTTTAGTGTTGTTGAGAGCAAAGAAAGAGCAAAGGTCACGTGGGAAGAAATCCGTATATTCCTTTTGCATTCAAAGCATGCGGAGTAATTTTTTGCTTGGACAAATGATATTTGTATGATTTGCTTTGCAAAGATAGGGGCATGTACAGCTGAACCAGATACAAAGAACTAAGAAAGAACCCATTTGAAAACAAAACATGGGAATCAACTTTGTTGATCAGATCAGAGTGAGGCTTTGGGCAACTCCTTCTTTCCTCGTCCTGCCTATTCTTCCCCATCCTGCCCTAGAAAAAAGAGGGTGGACCAAGTGTCCTTTGGTTGCCTTTGATTTAGACAGACTTGGTGTAGCCTTCTGTTAAGGTAGTTTAGACATTTAACACACTTTGCAGGCTATTGAATGAGACAGCTGTTTTTCAGTAGTCTGTCCAGCAGTCTCTAGCTTAAGTTTTTTTTGGGATAGATGTCTCTTTCTTCCAGAAGATGACAGTGAAAGAACTAGAGGATGGAAGACCAAGCTGGGCAAATTCAGATCAGCTGTTGSGTGAAAAATGGGCAAAACATTGCTCAAAGACTCTATTAGGTTAGGTGTCTTTCTAAAATGCATATTAATCCTAAGCAGATGCTCTGAATTTGGTGCAGAAACTTCTGCGTCTGGTTTTCTTGCACAGGTGATTTAAACATTTGCTCAAATAATCATAATAATTGTAAATAAAAAAATGTAACTAGTTGTTAAGAAGTAAAYGTAAATGACAGTAACATGAATGAGGCTTTGGGATGTTGTGTGGGTTTAGCTTTATTCTTCATCATTCATTACTACATTGCWTTGTGAAATTGGTTTTATGCTAGAAAGCAAAAGATCTTTCTGAATGCGGTCTGTTTGTTGGGGTGACAGGGTGGAYGAAATACTCCTTTAAACCTATCATGTATTTATGTATTTGTGTTGCAGCTTTCCTTTTCTCCTACAACACCCATGAGCAGCCACGTCAGAGTGCTGGCCCTGCTCATAGCCATGCTCCTGTCCTGCTGTGGATTAGCAGTTGTCTGTGGAGTTGTTGGCTACACYCATGGCATGCACACGTTGGCTTTCATGGCAGCAGAGGTGAGACTTCCTTCGTACATGTGGTTTCTGCTTTGCCTTTGACCCCTCACTTGGGGGTATCCTGGTACACAATGGATTTGTTTTTAATTCATGTAAGAAAAAACTTTGAAGACACAAACAAATCCTCCCTTGTTTTGTAGAGGTAGCCAGATTGGCATGCTTTCCCTCTTTAGCCTTTAACCCTGAAAAAAATCTTAGTCTGAAGAGAAGAATGAGAGGATAAACCCATAAGATGATCCTGGAATCAAGTGACAGCTTATGAAAAAGTAATGATTGTGCATCATGAGCATYGCAAGAAGGGTCAGTGAAAAAGCGCTGAGAGAGGGAGAGAGTGTGCATGAAAGTGTAATGTGCATTTCAGCCTTTTCTTTGAGGTTATATTTTCTATTTAATTTCTCCCCAAAAGGAGTGAGATTACCATCCTTTCCTTAAGGCATGCTCATGGGATTTGCTTATGTTTGTGTAACAAATTATGTCTCAGCTGYGATGGGCAAGGCATGTCTGTACACTCCTGAACCCTTTGCATTGTGGAGTAAATATCAATGTGTTTGTGGAGTGAACATCAGTATGTTTTTGATGTTCTGGTGGGTTGTTGCACTCTGTCTGTGGAAGTGATAATCTTAAACAAAGGAGAGGAATGCAGTATAATCACAGGTATGTTGTGTTAGCACATCCTTAGTTCAGATAACGAGTAACAAGTACAATTAATTTTTCTTTTCCAATCTTGAATTCATACTTGGAGTTAGGGAGCAGGAAGGAAAACAACTGATACCAGGAGAATATGATTGTCACATCACAGTTCAWTTGTTTAATACATCGCTTTGTTTTTCCTTGAACACGAGAATATGCAAGACCAGATTTGTAATTAAACAGTGGAAGGGTATTGGAAGATTTAACAGTGTCTCTGAAAGGTGGGGTCTCATTGGTGTYGTGTCTCTTATCTTGGCTTGGCAGAAGGATTATCAGCATTGCACCAGCTCAGGGTAGGTTTATCAGGGAGTGTTGTGGTGCCTGTGTTCCTCCTTAGGGCTGTGCTGTGTGGTATTGTAAGTGTTTTGGGATGCAGGATGGGGCCCAGCTGTTCATTTTGGTGGGAGCTGTTCCGTGTGCTGATTAACAAAGGAGTGGCTCAGTCTAAGTGTGGGGTCTCCAGTGCCATGCTGCTGGTGGGCAGCGAGGAGCTTTGTGGGGAATGTAGAAGGAAGGGTCTCCCAGCTTTGCTTGCAGCCACTGGTGTTTGAGAACATCCCTGAGCTGGGGGCTGCACAAGCCCATTGGGTTGATAGCCCCAGATGTACGCTGGAAAGTTGTCTGATCATTCACTTGTTTGTATGTTAGCCTCTGTAATATCCAAAGGCAACAAATTCAACATTTGCTTGGCTTTGTGTACATGAAAGAGCTCTTTGATTGTTCTGAATCTTCTGTTTGATAATCACAGAATGATTTGGGTGGGAAGGGACCTTAAAGATCATCTAATTCTAATGCCCGTGCCATGGGGAAGGAATAATGTTCTTAGCTATCAAGTACATCTGTGGTGAAAATATGCAAAGAGTCATTCCCTGTGTACTCCTTTTCATACAATTTGTGATTTTGTCATYCTTTCAGCTGTCCCTTTGCTGCCTTTCCTTCTAAGCAAAAGARTTCTAGTCTGTTTAATTTTTTTCTCGTAGGAGCTTGTCTAATATCTTGCCATTTTTGAACATTTTCAATATTCCCTGTATGGACTGGGCAACCATGAGTAGTTTCCTTGATTTCAATATCCACCACTCACGTGAGTGGAATAAAACATTTAGTTTTCTTTCTCTRTGGGTACTGGCAGTGATACCTCATGGCAGACTTCAAGCTCTGAGCAAAAAACATTAAATCTTTCAGACTGAAATGTTTTCCCGGTGGTGGCTTGCGTGATGCTCCTSGAGAGGGACCCTGCCAAGTGTATTCCATTGGTGTGAATGAATTACATTAAGTTACATTAAACTATTAATCTCTCTACTGCAAACATTGATTTAGTTTGATGCCTCAGGGTGTTCAATAAAGCAATATAGATGTTTTTCTTGTGTTTTAGGTAGACTTCCCCTTGTTCTCTGTTGCTTGTCAGCATTTTCTTTAGTGCAAAGGGTGGATGTGAAATGTACAAATGCCTAGAGAAAACTGAGTAAGGACTTGTCTGTATTTTTGAGTAAACATTAATCTTTTTTGCCTTAATATATGATGTTTGTTAATTATAGTATAACAAGCAGTGTCCAGTCTGTCTACCTTTGCTCTTTTTTTAAAAAACAGCTAGTAAACAGTTGATAGATATGTTGGGCATTGCAAAGGGTTAGGTRATGCATAGAAGCATTTTAAGAATGCTTTTTACAGATGGAAAAACATATTCAAACAACCAGCTTATTGCTGCATTGGGAAGTTAGTGGTTTTGATAGCTCTGCTGTCCTGGTTGTAGTACTTTGCTGAAGGCATGCCATCAGACCAGTTCCACAGAAGTGGTTTCAGTTGCTCRTTGTAAATCCCCTGCATCTCAGTGTCACTTGGCCCCTGCTAACTACAGGGTGGTATGGKCAGTCTCTGGGGGAGGCATGCCTGTTTTTTTGACTGTGAGGGTACAGTGAAGAGATGGAACAATGAGGGCTTAATGGATTAGACAGAGGTGATGGGACCTCTCTCTCTTAGCAGATAAGAGCCCATGGAAATGTAGTTATCTTTATGGTGACTTGTCTTTATGCTTCTGATCTTACACTTTCTGATATACTCAGGTTTTTTTCTCTGTACTTAGCCCAGAAACATAAATATGATTAAAGAGAAAAGTTACTTTAGCAGCATTTGCATCTCAGCAAAGGAATAGAACTGTTTGAAATCATCTTTCTCAAAATTCTGTTATTATTCAGTTCTTCCAGTTTTGTTTTATTTTTTTAAAGAAGTGGGGCGAGGAAAGGTTATTGATGGGATTGTGGTCTCAACACTTGCTAAGTGATAATAATTGAAAAAGGCAGTATGTCATGTGTGGTCAGGAAAAAATGACACTTAACAGCAGTAACACTGGTGGCTGCTTTAGTGGCATMGTGTCTTTGGGAACAATTTCTTCCATATTKATTTATAAKCYTCATKATTGTCAYGGGTATATTGTRCACRGAGTCACCTATAGTRASCATTGGTTCACAGGAACTTTCARGCTGCAATAAATGTGTTTYRTRTTTTAGCCCTTGAGCTCCTGCATCTGAACCACTGTCCCTGCCAGAATGTTTTTCATGTGTGTTTTTTTTTCCTCTTTTGCAGTCTCTACTGGTGACAGTCAGAACTGCTCATGTTATTTTACGGTGAGTAGGCTATGTTTCACAGGATGGTTATTCAGGAAGGTAGTGCATATAACATGTTGATATAAGAGGTGTATGTAATTACCTCACTGAGTTGCAAATGAATGTTTGGAGATTGAGGGCAGCCCTGAGGAGAAAGACTTGGGGGTGTTGGTGAATGGTTGGTGACATGGCCCAGTAATGTGTGCTTGCAGCCCTGAAAGCTCAACTACATCCTGGTCTGCATCCCCACAGTGTGGGCAGCAGGTCCAGGGAGGGGATTCTGCCCCTCTGCTCTGCTGAGACCCACCTGRAATGCTGCATCCAGCTCAGGGGCCCCCAACATGAGAAGGATGTGGACCTGCTGGAGTGAGTCCAGAARAGTCCATAGAGATTCTCAGAGGAATGGGGCACCTGCCATGGAGACAGGCTGAGAGAGCTGGGGTTGTTTAGGCTAGAGAAGAGAAGGCTCTGGTGAAACTGCAGAGCCCCTTCCAGCACCTAAAGGGGCTCCAAGAGAGCTGGAGAGGGACTTTGGACAAGGGCATGGAGTGATAGGACAAGAGGGACTGGCTTCAAACTGACAGAGGGAAAGGTTAGATTAGATACTAGAAAAAAAAATCATCCCTGTGAGATTGTTGAGTCACTGACAGAACAAGTGTCCAGAGAAGCTGTGGCTGCCCCATCCTGGAAGTGGTCACAGCTTGACTGGATGGGGCAGCCAAGGGGGTTGGAACGAGATGATCCTCAAGATCCCTTCCAACCCAAACCATTGCAGGATTCTGYGAGATGAGCAAAGGTGATTAATTTTAGCCTGTGTTCTTTTTAAGCACTAGTTTTGCAACTGACTGGCTTTTTTTTTTGTTTTATTTGAGTGATGTGTGTATCTTATCCTGAAGCCTTTATTTGACGAGAAGATTGTATTGGTGTTTAAGTAGTTACAGGAACATTTATTTTAATGCCAGCTAGTAAACAGTTGGCAGAAATATTGGATAGTACAAGGGATTAAATAAGCATAGAAGCATTTTAAGAATGATTTTTACAGATGGAAATGCACTTTAGGAATGCTTTTTACAGAGGGGGATTGCAATGTATGCATAGCTTTAGTAGGTGCTGATAGCTTGAGGCATGGATTGAGGTGGATGGTGCTGCTGGATGAGGGTTGATATATGTTACATAATGTCATTCTGCAGGGTTTGTTTGTTCTTGGTCTCCTGAAATTTTGCTTTGAAAAAGTCACATGCATGTGTGCCTGTAACACACCTGTGTGTACATATGTAGGACATGGCGTGTAACCCAGGAGCCTCTTTGTGCAGATCACTCTCAGCATTTCAGGTTTGACACCAAGCTGTWATGACTCACCTGAGAAACACCTCACATGCTGAAAAAATGTGGTTCTGTAGTTACTATAATCCTAAGGTTGGCTTTCAGTACATGAAGTARCTTTTAGCAAATGCTACTTCTTTTCTGTCAGCTGGTGGTGGCTGTAGTCCCAGTGTGGGCTAAGCATTGACTGMTTTTTACTTTTTAAAAATGTTGCTGTTTGAGATCAGTAATATTAAAAGAAGTCCCGCTGGGGAAAGCACAGACTGCGGGCACAGGGCCTAGCAAGGCCAAAGAATCCATATCCAGAAATGGTTTGAAAAGTGGACAGAATAGTTCAAATTGTGGAGATGCTGTATAAGAAAAAAGATAACAATGTTAATTTCACCACTCTTGCAGATACGTAGTTCATCTCTGGGATCTCAACCATGAAGGAACTTGGGAGGGCAAAGGAACGTACGTCTACTACACAGATTTTGTCATGGAGCTAACCTTGCTTTCCCTGGACTTGATGCATCATATTCATATGCTGGTACGAAATACTGAACATAATGCTGAGCAAATAGACTGGCCTTAAATTAAAGGGTATTGGGTATACATATTTTAGATACTTGGCTTACTTTAGAAACCAGATATTATAGAGAAGTTACTTAAATAGAGATGAAAATACAGAGGGAGGATTCTGGCATTCTTTCCTCCTGTGTAGTTGGAGTAATCACAAATAACTTTGTTAAGGAGTATTACTGTGTGTAATTATCTGTTTAGTAGGTGTTTAATTAGCTTTTTTATTGAGTAATATCAGACTGAAGTATTTTCATTGGCAGCAGGGGATGCTAAGCTGAGGATGCTAAGGATGCTAAGGACTGAATACAGTTTACCCTTATTATAAATGCTGTACTGCCAAAATTGTATCTGAAGATGTGATGAGTGGTAATACCTTTGAACATGTGTGGTTGGTCTGAATTGACCCAAGGAAAGTTCTTCAGGGCTGTCTTCTTAATTTTGTCATCTCTTCAGACCTGTTGCAGCTTCTTGTTTCTCATGGTGCCTGTATCTAATCCCTGCTCTGTTTTTTTGTCCAAGCTGTTTGGCAATATCTGGTTGTCCATGGCGAGCCTGGTGATTTTCATGCAGCTGCGCTACCTGTTCCAYGAGGTGCAGCGGCGAATTCGGCGGCACAAGAACTACCTGCGTGTGGTTGGAAACATGGAAGCCAGGTGAGCCCCTTACTTGCTCTGCAGTCTTTATGTAGATTTAGGAGAGAGGATCCTGAGAAAGAAGTTGGGATTCTTTTACTTCCTTTGACACACAGTGGCATGATGTAAGATGGACAGATGAAATTTTGCAAACCTGACACGGCTCTACACTTAGAGTGTGTTTTTAYCCTTTTTATTTGTTACTGGGGACACTCTTCCTGGTTTTAACAGATGTGTAGGATTGCCTTGTATAATGGCAGTATTACTCGTAATRTATTAAGTGGTAAAAAGTGAACTCCCTGGTCCATGTATTCTCTTGCATGCTGCTGTAGTGGGGTGACAGAGGCTCTTCAGAGCTCTGCCTGTTTCAGTTGTCAAATACTGGCTTTGGCTGTGGTAGAAATCAGTGTTCTTAATTTAATTAGACCATACTCTTCAGTTACTGACCAAAATGAACTCAAAATACTAATTAAACATGCCCAACTTTACCTATGTGTTTATTAAAGCTGAAGCTACCTCTAAACAGACTCTGTGTTTGTAGTGGAGCTGAGAGCACCTTGGCAGTAATTTAGTCCATTCCCTTYTAGTGAGGCAATATGGAGAAATTGGGACTCCTGCTAAAACATAATATTGTGCCAGATAGTACTGCATCTCTGATCCATTGTTTTTAAAATTCAGCTTTGTTCCTAAAAATTTTAAGAGCCACAGGGAGTTTTACTCTTTCTGTACATCACTATACTGTTTTACTTTGGGGCCTCTGTGTATCTGATTAATTCTGATTCCTGCTGCTGTAGTCCAGATGGAGAATTCTGTCTTATCTAGAAATACCTAAGGTTTTCTTTTTGAAAACTCATTTAATGGCTGTGATATTAAGTTAAGAGCTGCATAATCAAGTTCACCCTCACTGCACTGTTTCTTTTCAATAAGATGCAGTCACTGAACTCCTTTGGGCTGGTCACAAAGCTGTTTGAGTTGCATATGCCACAGACTTCTTGTCTGAACGACTTGATGTGTTTTGGTCATTCTGATTGTGCTGGAAGAACCACATTCTAGCTTCCTTCTGAAGCTGCCATTGGCCGCCTTTATGTGGATGTTTTTTGGGTACATTTCACACCAGCAGTGCTGTGGAATGTTGTTACACTACTCATCTCTATATTGTCCGTGCTTGGATACTGTGTAGTAACTGCATAAGTGGCACTGTAGCTTAATAAAAGAGAAAAAAGTCAAGACAAATGGGACTGGCAGAATCTGAGGCCAAAATTAGTCAGACCATAAATGCTTATGATCTCGAAGAGACAATGTAATGGGTACAGCTACTAAAACTCATTAGAAAAATGACATAAGCCAAATCTATACAGATTATAACTTWGGGAGCTCAACAAAATGATCATATAATTGTCTCTTGGAAGGTACTAAGTCAAAGCTTTTTGCAGTTAGGATGCATGAGGATATGTGCAAAAAAAGTGCCCGCAAAGGCATCAGAGGGATATATATGTGTCTGTTGCTCTGCAGTGTAGCCTGCGTTAGCAAAAGAATAACACACCTGCATAACTCTTGTAATAACGTGGAGGGTCAAGTTTACTCAGTGCTGGATTCTCTATAGAGGAGGCCATTCTGAGCTTGTGTAGTCWTTCATTTTGTCTCTTCCTCCTTCTTTGTAGGTTTGCGGTTGCAACGCCAGAGGAGCTGGCAGTGAACAATGATGACTGTGCCATTTGCTGGGACTCCATGCAATCTGCCCGTAAACTCCCTTGTGGSCATCTCTTCCACAAGTATGTGTCCGAGCTGGAGAAGGGTGCACCCAGCTGRGAAGGGAAGGGATAGATGGGCATGGCTGAAATTACAGTGGGCTGACAAATARTAAGCTACCAGGGGAGCTGTTGGGTGCTTGCTGCCACAGTCACTGTGGTCTGCTTCTGATGAAAAAGTACAAGTCCTGTTCACTCCAGTCATGTTCATGTTTGAGTTGTTCCACTTGGTGCACTTCTTTTCCCCCAAACCAAGAATGTACACCTTGTCAGCTTGTGGGAAGCTAGTGCTGAGTTTCTCAGACACAAGTCGGTAGGTTTGTTGTGTGGAGGTTGTGTTGATTTTCAGGTGAAGAAAATTKGAGCTGGATCCTTAAGTACCTTTTGGATACAAGCTTTAAGGAGAAAACAGGGAATATTTTTATGTAGTGCATCCTTAGATGGTGGTGAGTCCCCCAGGACAGTTTTGGAGGCCWGGTCTGAAGTTGTGGTTTCAAGGGGGGCAATGAGTCCCATCAGGCTGTAAAAGCAGTTAACCAAATCAGCAGAAATGGTCCCTAAGCAGCTTCATTGGGAGACTTTGGGCCAAAGGATCTCTCTACATGCTGCTTTGTCTGCTCATCAGCAGTGAAYAGCAGCAGATGCTTGTGGACACTGTGCTGAGCTGGATGTGACTTTGCTTGGATCTTTGGTAGCAGTCCTTASACTTCCATGCCTGTGCTTTAATATGAAAGGAGATACAGGGATTGAATCAGGCATTTCTGGAGGGCCATGTGATGAATATACAGGTCAGTTAAATTGCCCCTGTGGTGTTACTTTCTGTAAATAGCTTTTCACTTTTCTGGTAACTGTCAAACCAGAGGTTGTAATCTGTGTGCTAATTTGTTGTCATTTATGACAAACCTTGCCATAAATATTTATCTGTGTTCCAAGAAGTCTCTAATGAGATAATGTGCCTCCATAGCAGAAACTCCTCTTCCACTGCTACTGAATCATGTGAATATTTAATCACCTGCTGAGCACTTGAGAAGCCCAGGGTCTTCTCTTCAGAAAGGCATTTTCTCTGTATTTAAAAGGATCCTTTTGTATTTTTTTTTCCTGAAGCAATTACAGTTCTGAAGCAAGTTACAGTCCTTGGTGCTTTTAGGGAGGGAACATGTTACAGTGGATGGCTTCCATATAAAACCAGATGTAACTAATAACCCTATTTACAACCTGAGAGTGGTTTCTCTCCTCATAAAAGCCTGGTGATTTTGTCAGCAGACTGAACACTGTGTCCAGTCTTAATTATGTGGGATTTTTTTTTCACCATCAGTTATTTGGAGWGAAACAGAAGGTGGCAAGGGAAGATTACATTGCTGAGATCAACCCTGTGCCTAAATATTAAGKAAATTTAAAGGGAGTAGGTGTCTGAATCTTTTAGGCATGTAGAAAATCCCTCTTTTACCTTCAAGGAAGCAGACAATTTCAAGAGTTGTTGCTCTAAAAGRTTGTCAGCCTTGACCTGGTGTTGGCCCTCCTTTTGAGGTGCTGTGGGTGACCAAGCCCTTCTGCCTGTGTGGTACACAATGGGTGTGACCACATCTGGTGCTGGTGCAGCTGACACGGGGTTGTGCCCTTTCCAGCATCTCAGCTGTTGAGCCACTGAGGAGCAGCAGCAGCAGCAGCGTGGTGGCAGCTTGGGAAACTCTGGGTGATTCCCAAGTGATCTTTGGGGTACAGCTCTAGCAGAGGTGTGAGTTTGCTGTGGGCAGAGTTTTCCTGTGGTCAGGGAGGTGACATTGGACACCACTGCCAGTGCCAGCATCCTGACAGTGCTGGTGACCAAGGTAKTGGAAGGTGGCAGATTTTAACTGTGGTGCTTTGCTTTTTTTTGGGAAACCCATCACTGTGTGTCCATCCCTCCATTGCAATATGATGGAAAACACTTGGGCAAAGTTTCAGGAATTGGACAGAATGCTTGTATCCTTGACTTCACCATAGTCCTGCAGTTAGGGATTTTCCCTTGCTATGTCACCCCAAACCTGTGATCTGTTCCTTCGTTTTGTTTACAAATACACAATTTGGGGGTTTATTTAATCTTTTTGTGTGTGTTTACCTTTCTAAAGTGTTTTGAGAACTTCTGGAGAAAAAAACCCACCCTGCAAATGTGAAGTATTTATTATAATATTGAGAAGTGTTTCAGCCCTGTGAAATTCAGTTCTTCCACACTGGAAATTAAATTTAATTTGAACAAATACTGAAATTGGGTTATATCAGCATGAATCAACCTACATTTCAAACTTTTCTCACTYTCTGCAGGACARTYAATGTTCAGAATTAAGTAAGGATTYTAATGGCACAGAATTGYTGGTATTAATAAAYCTGTTTAGAGAGTTCCTGCAGTGGTACTGACTTTYGTGGTTTGGGTATTGGTATTTTGAAAAGCAACTTGAAAACACTGGAGGTGCCATTGCTTCATCACAGGCAGAACTGCCATGAAAATGCATGAGGATACATTAACTATGTGTCCAGTTGCTTTTTGCCTTTTCCAGCTGGGAATGGTGAGAGAAAAGAGATACTTTGTTTTCCCTTCCAGGCAAAATTTGCTTGTTCTGAGCTAGAGGGACAGCAAACTTGGAGAGTGTTCTAAGTTTGTGATAAATCTGCATGCATGTTTATAAAAAGGGAACACCTGAGTGTTTTCAGCTGAAAGAAATAAGAAACTTATACCAGAGTCATCAGGAGCTCATGAAGGATATCTCTGAGCAGTCCATATGTTTATATTGATATTCTGTGTACAGAATATGCTACAGCAGTTTAATGTACTTGTGATAGTGGTGTCTCACAAAATGCTGCAAGCTCACCACAGTATTGCTGTTTTCCTGTCAGCTCATGCCTGCGGTCCTGGCTGGAACAAGACACATCTTGCCCCACCTGCAGAATGTCTCTTAATATCACAGACAGCCATCACGTGAGGGAGGATCACCAGAGGGAGAATCTGGATGAGAACCTGGTCCCGGTGGCAGCAGCGGAGGGCAGACCACGCCTGAACCAGCACAATCACTTCTTCCACTTTGACGGTGAGCTGAGCAGGTTTGCCATCCGCTGCTGTTGGCCAAATAAACAAAGGGAGCAGCCTTCTRTAGAAGGGAATTCTGTCTGTGCTTCAGCTGAAACTCAAACCGTGCTCTGCTTGTGTTTGTCAAACACCTTTGTGTTTCTGATGGTTCTTTTGCAAGAGTTCTCACGTGTCTCTGAGGTTTCCCAGAGCTGTGGAGATTTCTTGAAAGATTTCGTACAAGTGCTGCCTTTTTCTGGATTCGTTGTGGTCAGTAGTTTCAATTACTGGCATTTATTCATTGTGTGCCACATTCACAAGCGGAATGGGAAATTCCTGTGTCTTTTTTTGTTACCATGTRGTGGTTAATGAGTGACAGTCAGAGGAAAAAAAGCCCTCTGGTGCAGTCTAAAAGTCAGTCTTTCCYCTATGCCCTGCTAATCTGTGGTTGACAGAAGTCCATTTGTCTCTCAATTTACAAGACACTTGCAATGCTTGGTTAGGTGCAGAAGATTAGTTTCAGAAGGAATCATGTAACCACAGCAGTTTTACATGTTTGGGGCTTTTTAGTAGTGTGCTGTAAGTACTCAGAAAGCAGATGTGATTTCAGGCCATGATAAGTTCTGTGTATGGAGACCATTTATTTTGAAAAAGACAATTTTATGTTGTTTGTCTTCTAGATTTTTTTTAGAGTTTTGATATTGATGTGTGCTTGTCTTTCATAGTTTCCCAGGATTTGATTGCAGTCTTGGTGTTTCTCAGTAGATTTCATTACTGCAAATACTCARCTTTGGGCTAGCCCTTATGGAGCTCCCAGGAGGCAGCTGAGATGCTGCAAACCGACATAGTGACCCGTTCCTCATCTGTGCTTGTTTTGCAATTTTTGGAGATTGTGGGGGGAGAATAATGGGCAGAGAAGGGTCAGACAGTTTCCAGGTACACGGAGACTGTCTGATAGCTTCTGCATGGCTTCCACTTTTGGGGTGCTTTAGGTCTCCAAAGGGCATTTATATTTAGCATAACACTGTATTTTTGATGACTGTCCTCCCCAGTGCTCTCCTGTGGCTTGGAGRCCTGCAGAATTACCATGGAGATGGAAGGAGAAGTGGCATAGAGCAAAGCCTGTGTTTACTGAAGTGGCAGCACAGAAGGAGGAGGCACCCATGTGCCTACTCTGTTGAGCTGAAGCACACAATTGCAGCAGTCTCTTTGTTCAGTTACTCTGTGTCCCTTTGAAGTAATATTTTCAGTGATGACCCATTTTGGGCCTGGGTTCAGATTGCTTAGAAGCTGTCCTGTTTTTTRTAAAATTGCTCTATTTATTAATACATTCCAGAACTGGATTTGACTCTGGATTATTTTAATTTTCACTTTTATAGGAACATTAAAAAAAGGAAACAAGAATGTGCTGTTTCCTTGATCGTTTTCCAGCTCCCAGATTGTTAAACCACTATGACAGTGTGTTTGAAGAGAAYATTGGCAGTTACTGATTCACTCCAGCCATCTCCATGTTTGGGRGACCTTAGGGATAGATTGCACTGCAGAACTCCCTGCAGATACCTTGTAGAATATAAAGATTTATGTTAAATACACGTAGAAGTACTTGGTGTGGTGAGATCCTCATCTTCTTTCTTGACTTTCTTGGTGATTTCTTATTCCCAGGCTCTCGAATTGCCAGCTGGCTGCCCAGTTTTTCTGTGGAAGTGATGCACACCACCAACATCCTTGGAATTGCACAGGCCAGCAACTCCCAGCTCAATGTGATGGTAAGATTGCACCTCAGCCTTCCTGTTTGTGCTGTGTAGGGGAAAGGGTTACGTGGATGTGGAGAACATAAAGGGGAAGGAATTTGAAACAGTGGTTAAAKACTACAGGAAAGCTGTTTTCTAGAGCGTGAGAAGGTTAATTTTAGTGAAGTTAGGGCTGTATTTGGTTTTAAATGTGCCAGCCCAAAAGAATAGGTTTGGAGGTAGGTGAATGAGGAAGAAAAATGACGGGTACTTCCTGGGTAGAGAGGCACTTTTTCTCACCTTACTTGGTGCAACTTCTTCAGGTCTTTTTCAGTACTTCACTGACAGCTTGCAGTACCAAGGGGTGTGAGTTTGTAACCAGAGAGTTTAGCTGTTGGTCAGGTGGTAACTGATCACACTCATTCTATAGCTTTTGATTTATTTTTTTAATCTTTAATAGCTCTAGGCTTCAACATAGCAGTTCCAGTGTCTTGCCAGTGAGAGGTGGGCTCTTTRGCACCCTCAGCTTTTGCTGAGTCATGATGTTGATAGAAATGTAGAGGATGAAATTTCATCCATRAACACTTTAATGTAGTACAAAAAGRAAAGGATGTGGSCTCATGAAACACTTCAGTTTYTTTGAGAARTGCTGTTTCCTTTGAGTTCTTCAAACCTACTGTGTTCTATACCATGTTAATAAATGTTCAGTGAGGTGTCTCATGAAAGCGATGGAATATTCTGAATATCAGGTCTTTACCATGGCTTTTACTTCTGTTTAAACATGACCAGGATAAGGCCACTATTTTTAGTATGTTTGAGGCAGGGCAGGGAGGGAGCAATAAGGTGTTGGCAGGTAATTTATTAGTTAAATATGCAGAACTCTCCATCTAAGGTCAGTTTAATTTTTCTTTTACTGGACACAGTGACACAAATGGGCTTTTGTTAAGGATGAGTAATGTTTTTTTAGGGTTGTGTATTATCAGAAGTACAGTAGCAACTTATAAYAAAGTGTCTACTTTAATGAAAAAGCCCAGGTTAGCAAATTATTAAAGTGTTACACATTTTTAATAGCAAGTAAGTGAAATTCTCCTTTGTGTTACTCAACAAAAGCCTAGGGGAGTATTTTGAGGGGAAAGCTAGAGGCTGAAATGCTAAATCAGTTRTTTTGGTCACAGGTTAGTACAATGGAGAGTTAGCTTTGCAGTAGTTGCCTRTGTTGGAAGTCACTGTCAGTTGGTSCATAGTTTTTGCTTTGCTCTTAAAACTTCTTCCACCTTYCTTTTCTTATTGCTGTTCTTATTCCCCCCTGCCCCCCATGACTGTGGGCATTAGTGAAAATAGAGATTTTAATATTTAATGAAATCTAGTTGTTGGACTGTAAAAGCCCAACATTTGTCTGCCCTCATACATTCACTTACTTAATTTGGATATTRTTTAACTAAGTTGAAATTCAGTAGTAACAGTTTCCTGACAACTCAGTTTCATTTACTTGAATTTTCAGAGCCTATTAAACTGGTTTGTAGGCAAGGTGGCTAGAGGGAGAGGGTTATTAAAACTTACTCCACTTGTCCTTATCAGTACCTTTTTGGAACCAATCTAACACGAAGTAAAATTGTTTTTTTCTTCCTGCTGTTGATCTAACTTTGTCACCCRTGAGTTTTGCATAGATCTTTATTAAAAAGGCTCTCATAAGAAGRGGGTTGAGAAGCTTTTGAAGCCTTTGTGCATCTACAGGCAATGTTCAGGGCCATGTGGTGTCTCCCTAGGAGTTGCAGTTTTCTGTTGACTTCAGTGGAGGCATCATAGTGCCTTGTAAGTCAATGCCAGCATGGGTTTTATTTCTCTTTTCTTCTCTGTGTGGKTTTGCATATCATAAGCAGCATCTTTGAGCTGATAATATTTTTAATCTTTTTCTGTTGACATACTTATCAACTAACTTCTATTTACTGCTGATATTGACTGTGTTGCTTTCTCCAGGCCCATCAGATTCAGGAGATGTTCCCTCAGGTTCCTTATCATTTAGTTCTGCAGGATCTGCAGCTAACTCGTTCTGTAGAGATCACCACTGACAACATCCTAGAAGGGCGCATCCAGGTGCCTTTCCCCACACAGGTGAGTCATAACACTGTGCACCTAAAATTACTTTCTTTCTTATCACAGCACTGAGCCTGTTAATAATGAGTGAGGGGARTGAAGCAAGCTGAAGCATTGGTGCATCTGAGATTTGTTTTCCCCTTTGTTTAAATCTCTGTAAATGCAGTGTATTCAGTCATGTACCAAAAATATATTGAAAATGTCCTCGCTAGACAAGAGATAAATATTTGCTCAGTTAAAGCAGCTCTTCTCCGTCTCTCTTGTGCAGAGCTTTTAGAACATTTCCAGTTGATTTCTCTGCTGACAGATAATTGAATTGTACCACTTAGGAAGGTTTTCTGCAAAGAAAGTCGGCAAAATGATGCCTTGTTCTTAATTAGTGCCAGYAGATTTCAGTAAAGCAGAGTGGGGACAATGTTTCTGTTAATAAGAATATTGAATTCTGGTTCTGTGCACATCAGATAGTATTTTTATCTGGAGTCTGCATGTGGGGAAGCAGAGAGAATTCTCTTTCAACACAAAGCATTTGTTTATTGCTAACTTATCTGTTTCTAAATTGAACACAATGCCTGACGTTGCAGAGGGCAGAGTTTGAATGTGTTAAAAGAACTCGGGTTTTTTTGCCATTTCCCACWCTGTACTAAACCCATGATGTTTGCATTTCAGCGTGCAGATAGCATTAGACCTGCATTGAACAACTCAGTGGAAAGGCACAGTACAGATCAGGAGGATACTGGAACTGTCACACAGGTAATTTGGCATAAAAATGGGCAGAAAACACAATCAGAAGCTGCCTTGACTGGTAGGTGCCCTTGGTTCTTTACCAGGTCTGGTTGGTGGCAGCCCTTCCTTGCATTTCACACCAGAGCTAACTCAGGCAGATAAATCAGGTATGAGTGTGGTGCCCCTCTAGAGGATCATCTGCTTTTCTTTTTTCTCCTTGAGGGAAAGTGCTCTCACATGGTACAAAGACAGGTAGGAAGGGACATAAGAAGTTGCCATTATCTCCTCTGAGWGTGACTTGAATTTCCAAACTGTGGACAGATAGACCTTGACACCTTATGACCCAGTCTCCGAGAGAGACCATGGAAAATTCAGTTCCTTTGTGCTGCAGCCTTAGAGTAAGTTTTACAAGCATTCTACCTCTGGTTTATTTTTTTTTTTTAGTCAGCATACCCACTGAGAATCTTCTGTAGATCTCCAACAGCAAGTGCCAGACCCATCAGTTCTGCTTGTTGGAAATAACACTTCTTAGGGCAGCTAAGATGCTTGTATAAAAGCAACCTTCTTCATGAGTATTGTTGATTTYCCTAGAGCCTTATGTCATATTATGACTTCATTCTACTTAGAGTTCAAAGGTCTTAAGATAATAACTGATTTTTTCTCCCCCAATTGTAGTTTGTTGTTTTGGGGAGTAAGTGCTGATAGAATGTAAGGTAGTTGAGAGGCATCTCTGAGCACCATCATGGTATAAATCATGTTACAGGTTTGTGAGATAATGCTCAGAGCACAGACAGCCTCTATCAGTCGTGGCCTGTACCCTTAGTGAGACACTGTGCCTGTGCTTTTCTCCAGCTGTGCATTGGAATGCTGATGCTTCCAGTGATGTGCCTAATGCTCTGCCTCCTCTCCATCCCTATCCCATTTGCCCTCCCTTGCTTAAGTATTTGGTGACTATTTAGAAACACTTCTGAGGCATCCCATGGCTTTCATGAAACTTTTCTCTTGGAACCTGAAAGAGGAATAGTTTCTCTATTATATGAACTTCTGCATCTGTGACCTGCTGCATTACTGAGGCTTGTCATTACCTTTGCTGCAATTAGCTGTGATAGTTTTGTCTCTAAAACCTCCTTGGTAACCATTCCTGTGCTCAGATAGAGGATTAGGCTCCGSTTATTGATTCTTGAATCCTTGTAATTCTATGAAAAGCCCCCAAACCTTAGGTGAGCCAACTTGCATCTTCTGATACAAATGGCCCAGGGGGAAAARTAAGTGATCTTGTCTGGGCATTGACTGCAATGAGCGGCCTCCTCACTGCTTCCCCAGCAGAGCTTCCCCTTTCCCTGCCCACCCGTGTGGTGATTGGGAGCAGCAGTTCARTTGCTCCATTCCTGTTCCACTGGGTCTGCCAAGGTCATCCTGGCCCCAGGTACAGTCCATGGGATCATTCTGTGGAGCTCTCCTTCCCCTCCTCAGGGATGTGGCTTTGAGGCAGCCCAGTGGTGCCCCATGTTATCCCAGTGCACATTGGTGTGTGTGGTACTGGAGCCCTTTGGTAAATTCCAGCTCTGGTGTTTTTGCTGAGAGAGGCTGAACACTCGTACTTGTGTTTGAGGTTGCAGTGTCCGTGCTGCGCTGACTTGGCTCTGGGATTTCTGCTTGGCTCACCTGCCTAATGGGAAGTGACATTTGTCTTGGTGTTTGCTCTCTGGAGGCGTTGTGTCAGGGAGATGGCRTTACTGGCCTGTCTCCAGGGCTTTGGGATGACTCAACTTGTTTTGCACATTGGCTGCCTGAACCTGTGTCTTGTACTGTGATGCTGCTGCATCTGGGCTGTCAGGCTGGAGCAGCAACCCCACAGTCTCACTGTGCTGCTCATGGAATCGGCCATCGGGGCAGTAGGGGCTGACTTGGCCAGTACTTCCTGGAGCATCCCACTTGCCTGATTTGCTCTGGGATACTAAATGATGGCTAYACCCTTCAGCCCTTTACTGAGGTGATTTGTTTCTTGATGCCACCATGCTTGGCAGTCATGGTGGTTCTGCGTGCAGGGCTGATCTGATCCTGTGTGACAGGGTGTGATCAGAAGGTGCTGTTTCACCTGTGCTGCTGTACCCAGTACCATCATCCATCAGCTCCGTTTTCATGTTAGTGTTATCAGCTGGCTGTCAGGGGGAGAGGTGCCATGTGGGGGCTGCCAGCTCCTCTCTTGGCACACGGTGCTTGGCACAGTTGCCAGCCTTGCTCCAGCAGTCTAAAACAGGATAATTTGGGTGCTGCAGAACCCAGTGAACCGAAGCCTCATAAATTCCCTTCTTGAGCGCAAATAATCTTTGCAAATTCATTTGTTATTCTTTCCTTAGTATGTGGATTTCTGCTTTTTCAACTCTTTACTGTTGCATCACTTGTCAAGTCAGCTGCAGAATCTGACTTTCAAATGCCCCATTTTCAGAGAGCATTAATTATGAGTAATTAATGTTTGTCTTTGACATTACTTTCAAACATGGCATAAAAGATACAGTGTTATAGGATACAGGATTTTTGAGCATGGTTTGAAATAGCTTTGTTCTTTTTTTTGGCTGGGCTTTTCAAAGGGACCCAAGGGAATTGGGTACAGCAGGTGAGACTCTGGTTTCTTCCAGTGCCTCAGAAAACGACAGTTCTTTGTTGTTTTGTTGCAAAGAAGCCCAAATTTTCCAAAGACTTATGCCTTATTTCCTTTTCTTTTAGACTGARAGAGTGCCACTTGAACTGAACTCCAGACTGGAAGAGATGGTGGAATTCAGTGAAATAGAAGCAGAACCTCATGAAGCAGAAGATTTTGAGGCCAGGGGAAGTCGCTTTTCCAAGTCAGCCGATGAAAGGCAGCGAATGTTGGTTCAGCGGAAGGAGGACTTGTTGCAGCAAGCTCGAAAGTATGTTCCTTCCTAAAAATCCAGCCTGGCCACTCAGGTGGAGTCCCCCAGAATGGGTTTCAAATGGGTTGGGACCACTGAGAGCCTGGATTGATGCAAAAAGCAGGTAGAGGAATGAATGCATCTGCCACAGCAGGCTCAGGATGCTGTTTGACACTGCTAAACCCAAMTCTGAAACAGCATCTTGTGTCCCAGTGTGCTGGCAGCTTCCTGGGCAATTGATCCAAAGCTCTTTGAAATCAGAGGCTGATTTTTCCAGCTTCAGTGGGCTTTAGTTTGAGCATGTACTAAGTGAGAACGGGTTACTTGTGCCGAGTCCTTGAGTGGTCTTTAGTTTGGCCCCTGGCACAGGTGTCAGCTCTCACTGCCTGTACTCTTACAGCTGAAATTCTTGTCAGGCACCACTTTTTCCAGATACAGAACCCTAAGCAGCACAGAGCTGACAGGTGAGCCTTACTAGACCTCACCAGAGGAGCTCAGTGCCAGCCAGTCAGCAGCTGAAAAGAGAGGGACCAATTTGAATTGTTTATTTGGCCCAACCAGCAATAGCTGTTACAGGTAGAATTCAGCTTTTTTACTGGAATTCCAGTCATATTGGTGGGCCTTACTAGCATCCAGTTGCTGATAAAGCAGACAAGGAAAAGCACTTTAGTGATGTAGAAAAAGCTTTGCAATGTTTTTAACAAATGTTTTCCCTCCCTTCGCATCGCAGGGACACTGCTGAGARGGTCTACAACAACCCCACTGAGTTCCGAGTCCTTTACTGGTGCTCCTTTTGTTTTTCACACTGAAATGCCTTATAAATACCTRGGGTTTCACACCTTTTACAAGTCTATAAACAGACTTGCTTCTGGACTTAATTTTTCCTTGATATTTGAAAAAAACATCTTTTATGGAGACAAAGTATTTTTGACTTTCTGTTTACTGCTTTGAAGAGCTGTTGAATTTCAAACTACTGTTTTTTGCCATTAAAGTGTGAAAATTCACTGGGATGTTAACTCTGGCATCAGCTTCCTTGTYCTCTGGCCTTACCTTACACTTTGCAGCCCTAGTGCCCCTTCTGTCAGGGCTTAGCCACTGTCACCAGGAAGTGCCTTGTTGTGGTAGGCAGTGCCAGAGGCTGAGGAGTGGAGTCATGGGAACAGAGGGAATCAGTAACTCACCTGCTGGGAATTGCTCYGAGTTGAGAGGACAGCCCTGACCTTTGGAACTGGCTCCTTCCCACAGGCACAAGGATCTTKCACAAAACCTAAAAGCTTCTGCCARCTCTGCAGAGCCTGTTGTAGGTGACATGGGCTTTTTTAGGAGCGCATAGCTGGTGTGCACTTCTATTGAGGCATTTTCCTGCTGGTTTGCCTTCCAGCCCTCCATGACTGCGGGGAAGTATTTTTCAGAGCCAGAATAAAGTGGGTTCTGCTCACTCATCTTTTCCTTTCTTCCCTCAGGCGTTACTTAAACAAAACCTCTGATGAGGAGCTGAGCACAGAGAAGCCTTTGCCCGAGGGAGCGACAGCCGACGCCGTCACCCTGCGCCGCAGGACCCTCGCYGCCGCCGCCGAACGGAGACTTCAGATGCAGCAAAACTCTTAGCGCTCGCTGCCCCTCCTTCCTCCTCCTCGTGAGCAACGTTGAATAAATAAATTAAATACAAAAAACCCTGCGCTTTCTATACCAGCAGGAAAGTGTCTCTTCAGAGTTCAGCTGGCTGTGCTGCCGAGTGAGCTGGCTGCCTCTCTGCTGTATAAAGCATGTGGTCTAATAATGTTTGGACAGCTGACAAATTAACCTTTTTTGTAATATTTTCTATGTGACGTTGATCCTCTCCACAAACAAAAGGCAATTTCTAAACCACGGGCATGATTTCTGCAGCTGGCATGAGCTATGGGGCTGACTGCACAGCAGAGGCTGGGGGAGGTKTGCTCTGAGGTAGCTGTGGGTGCAGGTCACGGAGCGCACGGGCAYGTTCTGCTCGAGATCAGGGGCAGTYACTCCGAGGAAAGGAAGCTTAGAAGCTTGCAGCAAGCCATGTGTTAGACGAGCAGGCTCCTCAGTCCCTGTTCCTTCAGCAGCCAAGGGTGTGAYGTAGGGCGGCTTGAAGGGCTGGGGGAGCGTCGCTGGGAGGTTCTTACAGTGGATGAAGTTGTCTGGCTACACAACACAGAAAAACCTGAATTCATGAATTGTGCAGCAAAGCGCTGATTCACGCCGATTACAGCATGAAATAGTGTACTGTTGTTGGGCTCTTCTGCGCTGGCAGAGGTCTGGCTCTGTTCATCCCCAGGGCTGCACTTTGCCTTTGCCTTTTATGTCCAGAAACGAGTGAGGGACAGAGGGGGATCAGGTGAAGAAGAGGGACCTGAGGCGAGGTTACAGCGTTGCCAAGAGCYGAGCAAGTCGAAAGTAAATCCTGCCTGTCCTGGACTCCAGCGCAGCACGGATGGGATGGCGCGGAGATCGTTCCAATATCTTGCTTTTTATTTCATTTTTAACCCCACAACCTCACCATGAGTTTATTCAGACTGGAGGAATGGGGGCAGCTGGACCTTTACTGGCTGCAGCCCAACGTGCTAACCTGGATTTTCTTAAGAACTTACGAGATCCCCTTGGCGCCGCCGCCGCCGCTAGCTTACATAGTTGAATTTTACATGGCAGTGACTTAATTTTTAAACTTCTGAGGAGTGAGTTCTAGTTTCACCGTCCTTTAGAGGGAGCCCAGTATTATCTAGAATTGTTGGTAACTTTTTACTGTTGGTTTTTAGGTGAAGGTGAATTTAATGAGAGGAATTGCATTGATGTTTAGGTGAAAATAATTTATTTCAATAAAACTCTTTGGGAAGCCTTACCTTGCAATGCTATCAGTAAACCTCAAAAAAATTTTTTGAGCTCTTTGGTTTTGCCTAGAACACAGCTGTTTTGTTTTTATTGTTACAAAAAAACCAACCAAACAAAAATAAAACCTTGATCAGTGTTGGAAATTGTAAATTTCTGTAGTGTGATTTCTCATGTTCCGGGTGCATGTTCTGTCTGTAAATGGGGCATTTGTGCTTTGGTCCCTGTCGGGTCCCCCTTAAAATCTGATGAGAGGGAGCACCAATGCCTAACACTGGGTTGGGAATGTTCTCCCGAGCCTCGGGTTGCAGGGCAGTAATTGCTACTGGAATTTGTCTGTGCTGTGAACAGGGAAATGGAAGAGAAACCGTGTCTCAAGGGAGTGAAAATCAGGTGGGTTTTGAGCTGTCTGGCAGCGTGGGGAAGGGATGAGAGCTTTTGTTTGTGTGGGCAATGCTGAGTTCGGGTTGTGATCCCGGCAGCAGAGTCAGTATTCCTCTGGGAGGAACGGAGTGCAGAAAACAGCACAGAAATCCTTCTCGAGGGCTCCAGGTCTCCAGGAGTTCCTCCTCCTCCGTTTCTGGGAGATGTTTTACCCGGTGATGCACTTTGTACCTGATGATGCGCAATGATCCCAGCTCCCTCAGGTTTTGACCTGGCTGTGGGCAATGTCCACCACCCTGGCCTGTTCTCTCCCAGCCCACCCACCTTCAGGACGGGAATGCTCTGCCCTGGAGCAGTTCCCTGCCCCTACCTCACACTCAGAAGGTGAGTCCCTTGTTCCCCAGCAGCAGTAATGCACAAGCCCCTCCTCCCACTCGTGGTGTGACATCCTGCCCCCCTCAATTTCACTGCTCCAAAAAAGTGAAATTTTTTTGCCCTGCCTGCATCGGGACCTCGCTGTGGAATCCAGTACAGCAGATCCTTGGGGAAGGAGAGGGTCTGTCCCAGAWSYSC